CCTAATTCTCTACCTTGCATTGCATGTACCCTTAGCTCAAAATTCACAAGATTATGTATGTATGGGTAATATGTCAATTGTCTTTCTTAGATGCATAATAATTAATATCATTGTTTTAAATAAATAAATTCAAAGACAATGACTTTATTTTCTCAATTTTCTCAACAAAAACTAGCAAATAAATAGGTAAGCAACTCTGTTAGTTGATACGACTAATAACGCCCATTTAGTATCGAGATACTCACCTAAATTTCTACCTTGCATTGCATGTACCATAATCTCATTAAAAATTTCACAAGATTATGTAATTGTCCTTAAATTAAAGAGTATACAAATGTAATATAAATTTTCAAATTTTAAAACTAGATGGACTACATTACTTGCCCCAAGGTGCAAACCAAAATAATAATTTGGCATCATTTAATTGGGGAATCTTTTGAACTAATCGTTTGGCATAGCCCCATATGGCATCTGACACACACGTTTACAAGTTCACTTTTCATTTTTATTTTATTTTTTTTCTTTTTTTTTTTTGAGCCTCCTTCTCCTTGCCTTCTTTTTCTTGTTGCTCACGACTCTTCCACTCATTTATTATGGCAAAGGACAAGGGCAAGGCAAGGGTTGTTACTATTTACGTGAATAGTGACAATCCTTACAAAAGGCTTGTGATGTTTTCATCTATTGTCATAGAAACCCAAAGGCAAGTACCATTGACATGAGATATGAGAAGAGAAATTTATATAGAATTTTAGTGTGGGAAGTGAAAAATATGACTAAATATTTATTTTTTAAAAATCCTGAAATTTTATTTTATTTTTTCGATTTTTTTTAAAAAAATTTTTGTTGCTGACATCATTACTAACTTCAACAAACTCAGACAATAACCCACGCTATTCTTGTCTTTGGGCCAGGCGTGTGGAGCTCGCCAACTGCCCTGGCTGCAGTTGCCCGCTGGAAACACTTTTTGGGCTTAGGGCCCCCCTTGCCCGGGCAAGGGGTTGCCCGCTGGAACTGCTCGTACTGGTAAACCAAACCCTACCAATTTCTCCACTGAAACTCTGGCGATGGAATTCCAAGAAATTTTCGTAGTGGCAACAAGCACTGTAGGCTTTATCTCTCTTTGTAAACCCATCATAAGTTTTCTCAGATGGGTATGGGTCGTGTTTCTGAGACCCCCAAAGAATTTCAAGGACTATGGCTCATGGGCTCTCATCACTGGCTCCACTGATGGAATTGGAAAAGCCCTTGCCTTTGAAATGGCTTCAAAGGGTCTTAACCTTGTCTTGGTTGGTCGAAACCCTTCAAAGCTTGAAGTTACCTCCACTGAATTACATGAAAAATATGGTGGGCAAATTCAGATTAAGAACATTGTCATTGACTTGGCCAAGTTCAGTGGGGAGGAGATAGGAAATGCCATAGAGGAAGGAATAAAAGGCCTTGATGTTGGCATTTTGATTAATAATGCAGGGGTGGCTTACCCTTATGCAAGGTTTTTTCATGAGGTTGATTTGGAGCTGATGGAGAGCACTATGAAGGTGAACATAGAGGGGGCCACATGGGTGACTAAGGCAGTGCTTCCAATTATGCTTAAGAAGAAGAAAGGAGCAATTGTCAACATTGGCTCTGCTTCCTCTGAGATCCTCCCTTCTTACCCTCTTTACACTGTTTATGCTGCCTCCAAAGCGTGAGTTTTCTTAGATCTTTGTTTCATATTTTGCTTCATTTGTTTTGGTTGGAGAACGAACCTCTCAAATGCATTCTATATATTACACCAGTTTGATTAATTTGAAGCCCTTAAAGTTTTGGGAGAAATTAAACATTATGACAAAAGATGGGAGTTAATGAGTTACCATATGATCTGTCTTGGCCCTCTTGGGAAACCCAATTCATCTTAGCACCTTCAAATGGGGTCCTAACTAATTATGATGTTCCCTGCATATCGTAAGTTGAGTTATGGCATTGGCAGGTACATTTCAATGTTCTCAAAATCCATTAGTTTGGAATACAAGAAGCATGGAATTGACGTTCAGTGTCAGGTTCTCATTCTTCCCCCTGGATCCTTTTGAAATGAATAATTGGGTGTCTTCATTTGTTTATATCCAAATATACATATATTTTGTCTTCCAATTTGGAAATTTCATGGGAAACTTAAGTCCATCATTTGGGAAAAAAGTGCCATCTCTGTATGAAGAAGGTTGTTCATGCTGCTCCTACATAAATATTAGTCTTACCCTCCTGCCTATACTTAATGCAGATTCCTATGTTGGTGGCAACAAAGATGACAAAGTTAAAGCCATCTTCCTTCTTCGTTGCATCACCAGAGATGTACAGCAAAGCAAGCATGAGATGGATTGGCTATGAGCATCTGTGCACACCCTATTGGGGTCACTCTGTGCAGTGGCTCATAATACGTGTTTTGCCTGATGTGTTATTGAATGCCATCATCCTTAGGTACTTCGTTGGGATGCGAAGGAGAGGCCAATTGAAGGAGGCACAGAACAAAAGTAAACAAATGTAGCCAGCAACAGAAAAATTTATGAGTTGCATTTGATGCAGCATTGAAATTGTGCTCAACTAGAGATTACTTTTTCTGGATGAATAAATTTACAACTAATGTATTGGTTTTTGGTTGTGTGTTGTGTTGTGTCTCATTCCTATTGGAACTTGGAAATATCGAATGATGATGGGCCAATCTAAGCTTAGTCTCTGTTTGCAGAGAGTAGCCAAACTATGCAGTTGGTCTGGTTGTGTGGTCCGTCAACTAACTTTAATTTGGCCTTACTTCTCAACCAGAGCATAGATTGATGGCACGTTAAAATAAGTTTATTTTTCTATAAAAAGGCAACAGAAATTTATTAGATAAATGGAAATAAAGAGTACAAAGGGGCATAAAGGGAGCTATTCCAATAACAATACCCATTGACCTGAGTCAATCATAAAGCTGGAACGATCTAGAGGGCTTTTACCATAATGAGATATTTAATTTTTATAAACAAATTTTAAAAAAAAAACCCAAAAAATGACAGCTAGCTCTATTGAATTTAATTTTGATTATTAAATTACTTTGATGCCCTATCGAGTGTTTTGGGTTTTTTAATGAGGTTTTGAGGTTGGGTTTGTTTTAACAAATAAGTGATAGTTTTGTAATTTAGAAGAAGTTAAAAGCCTTTTTGTTATGTTGTAAATGGGTTTTTGGTGTGTTTCTAAAGTCCATTTCATATAAGATTTTTTTATAATTTGGACTCCTATATTATGTATAATAGTGAATCTCCCTAAAATAATTTTAATAATACCAATGTAATGAATGAAAAGTTTGGACAGTTGAGCAAAAATCTATAGATTCAGCAAGTAATTCAAACTGTTGGCCAAATTGCAATTACATTTTCGTACATATATAATAAAGGCGCGAGTTTCGTTTAGTTTACCCTCTAGAACCGTCTTCCACCTGCAACATTTGAAGAAATCTCCGTTGGTAGGTGCGTGGTGCTGCATAATCAAAATTTTCATAAATAAGGGTCCCTTCAAGCTGCCTCTAAAATTATTATCTTTAAATATAACGACATTGATGAAGACTTTATAAACCAAAATAATGAGGATTTATAACACCTATAACAAGGTTTGTTTGGAGTCACCCCACCATTTTGTAGTAACTTTTATTCTTGGGTCAAATTTGTCTTCAATAAGCCATCTTCATTTATTCTTTTTTAGGACCTTTCCTATTAAGATGGGTAATGGTATATTAAATCTACACACATTATACGGATGCTAAAACTCAAATCTATGATCTTTCAAAGGGGAGCAATTGATCCATACCACTATGCCAGTGGGTTCTTTGCTAAGTCAATTTCATTTTTATTAGGTCATCTCCAACCCATGAGGCCAAATCCAAAATATCACGAATTTTAGCCTAATTTCTCTTCCAACTCAAGAAAAGTAAGGAGCTAAAATTTGACAAAACCCAAACTTGGGGCCAAATACCAGTCCAAGCAAGAAAACTTTTTGGTGTAGCCCACTCAAGGCTAACGCAACCCATGTGCAAGGAGGAATCAATGGGGTGCCATGTGTTGCATTACTGGTGCTGTAGAAGCTATTACATGCTGGTGTCGCAACACTTCTTTTTTAACCTTATTTTTTTTGTTCCAACAATAACCCAAATCAATTATCCATATTAAATCCAAGTTATTTTAACTGTAAAAAAACTTTAAAAAAAATTCAACTGTTAAAATAATATTTTAAATTAATCTAAATCATATCCAACCCCAAAACTAACTCCAAACTCTATAAATACACACCTATTTCTCAAATAAAATTATATTTATAGAATTTCATTTTTTTTTTAAGTTCAAATTGTTAAAAAAAAATTAAATTATGAAGTTATCTAAAAGATTAAAAGAAAAATAGTTAGACTTAAACTATTCTTAAATAATTTAATAAAATTGTAGACTTAAAATTTGAGTCTAAAGGGCTGGGGAAAAACCAATTTGAGTATGGGCAAAACTTAAATAGTTACCTTTTAGAAAGGGAAAATTTGGGTTTAGGACAAAATGGGTTAGAAAATGCCTTACTTAGGACATCTCTCCAATAGTTGGGACTCTAAAAGAGATTAATAGATCCCCATTTAGACCTCCTCTGAAATTTGTATTTATGGGAGCCGTATGGTAGTTGAGCCCTAATAAAGCCACCATTGGGGAGGGCCTGATGAAAGAGAATCAAACTCGGGGAAATTTCCTTCATCTTTTTCTTCTCCTAAATGCGAACCAAAAATAATTAAATGTAGTCCTTTTTCTCGCACCGGGAACAGAGTTAGTTAAATGTGGTGGTTTTCCGCTCATCTACTTCATCCAACTCTTCTTTCTATCAATTTCAGACGCTTCTATAAATTAAATTTCATCCTTTACTTCACGCCACTCCCTCCCCTCTTCTTCTATTTCTGAGCCAAACCCAACCTTTGGGTTCACCATTTTCGTTTCAGATTCCAAGCAAAACCTTTCTAAACGAACATGGGTTTTTGTCTCCTGGAGCACCTCAAGACTCAGCCTTTCTGGCTCGTTGTGCTTTTCACTCTGGGTTCTCTCTCTGTTCTCAGATTCTCTTTAGCTTTCCTCCAATGGGTCTATGTCAATTTCCTCAGACCTGCTAAGAATCTCAAAAAGTATGGATCTTGGGCACTCGTCACTGGACCCACTGACGGCATTGGCAAAGCCTTCGCCTTTCAATTGGCTCGTAAAGGGCTCAATCTGGTCTTGGTCGGTCGCAACCCAGAAAAGCTCAAGGACGTCTCAGATTCAATCCTGGCCAAATACGGCAAAACCCAGATCAAGACCGTCGTGGTTGATTTCACTGGTGACCTTGACAATGGTGTTAAGCGCATTCGTGAGACCATTGAAGGATTGGATGTGGGTCTTTTGGTTAACAACGCTGGGATATCGTACCCGTACGCTAGGTTCTTTCATGAAGTGGATGAGGAACTGTTGAAGAACTTGATAAAGGTCAATGTTGAAGGCACTACAAAAGTTACTCAAGCTGTTTTGCCAGGGATGCTTCAGAGGAAGAGAGGCGCTATCGTCAATATTGGGTCTGGGGCTGCGATTGTGATCCCCTCAGATCCTCTCTATGCTGTTTACGCAGCTACAAAAGCGTAAGTATTTGCACTATTTATTCACTGTGTTATATATCTATATATATATTGGATCTATTTTTGTTCATTGTTCGTTTTGAAGTGCTGGAAGTACAAGGTGATTGGTTTAGCTGCTGAAAAGGCTGTATGTTGCGACTCTTTTCAGGTATATTGATCAGTTCTCTAGGTGCCTCTATGTTGAATACAAGAAAAGTGGGATTGACGTTCAGTGTCAGGTATTATTTGTACTTCTGATATTATCAAATTGTTATAATTGAAGATGGTAGCTAGCTCACTTGGTAGGGTCCTGGGTAATTGATGCACTATTTATTGGGCAAATAAAACATGTTTACACGAGCTTAATATTAGGTAAACTGTCAACAATTGAAGCTCAATTGAACAAACTCTTAAAAAAAAAAAAAAAAAAAAAAAAAACTAGAAGTGTTGTGTCATGTGTTGCAATGGAGTTGCCCAGTATAAAAAGTTTGGCCAGTTGTTGTCCAAAGTGGGATACCATTATGCAATGAAAAACTCAATCATTTCCCAACCTCAGTTGGTCTTTCCTTGCCAAGTATTAGGTAGAAATTCTCTTACCTTGGTTTTCTTCTTTATGCCTTCATCGAGTTCACAAATTTACTTGAGGATATCAAAAAATTTGCCTTCCCACATGGTAGTTATATGTCGATGGTTAAGTAGTTTCAGAATTCTTTTTGGTATCTGCTTTCCTTTTCAGAGGCAATTGATGTATTGCATTGAACTTCATATATTATCTTATTGCATCACAGGTAGTGTAAAACCTGTCATGGAGTTGTTATTGGTAATGGAAAACTGATGCCAACACAAATTAGGATAGATGCATTGCAAATTGAAGACTTCTGAATGTGAATGACATTCAAAGGGTATGTTAGTAATGTTGACATGGTCCATAGTTGAGATGAGTCCTGTGCGTTGTACTTCCTGCCTGCCTAGGTTTCTGATCATACCCATGAGCTTTGTGGTTTAGTGGTTAGAAAATGGTGGTTAAACATTTCCTAGATTGTGTGATATGTAAAAGTATTCCGTTTGGATGATACTAAATACCCTTATGCCCTGACTCTCTATATGCGCATCGCCATATTTTGGCCACTAATCTGTTGAGCATTCTGGGATGATTGTTGGTATTGACTTTGCTTTGAGTTTTTTTATCATCAACTGAGGAGTTTGTCTTTGCAGGTTCCATTGTATGTGGCAACAAAGATGGCATCTATCAGGAGATCTTCCTTCTTTGTACCATCAACTGATGGTTATGCCCGGGCAGCTCTGCGCTGGATAGGGTATGAACCTCGTTGCACTCCTTACTGGCCCCATACGCTTCTTTGGGCCGTGGCATCCTCATTGCCAGAGTCTGTTGTTGACGCATGGCGCCTGCGATTTTGCCTGGCTATTCGAAAGAGGGGACAACTCAAAGATTCCCAGAAGCAAGAATAGATGACCGAACATTCTTATGTTATTCTGTTTGGGCCGCTTGGTAGGGAATGCTGTTTGGTGCAACGGATTAGGACTTCCGAAAGCTGATCGTATGCTTAGACTTCAGTTTATGTTTAATGTTTTAAAATTCCATGGTCTTTGTTAATTAATGATCAACTGCTTTTTTTTATATATATATTAAAGTTCCTTGCAAAAAAAGCAAGTAGATAGATGTTTGTCTGTTCGCCCTATTTATTCTTGTTGATTCCTTGAGCTGCAGTCGTTGAAATAGCCACATAGTTTGTGCTTTATGGCTCTTTGTTGTTGTAAACTTGTAACTTGAAATGGGGTTGCGTTTCTAAAGATCCATTAATTCAAAATGACTGAGGAGAACAAAAAATGCAGTAACATAATTTAATTATGATTTATCTTTTCCTTCTTTGAATGAAAAAAAGGGCTATTTACATTTTACCAATGGTCAAATAGATGAACACTTATTTTTTTCTCGACACAAGTGGTATTGGCAGAAGGTAGAATCAAACCTAGGACCTCGTTACATGACTAAATGCTCTTAAATAAGGTGCAATGTGAAAAAATTAAAACAAAACAAAATAGTGTTTTTTTTATAAAAAAAATTGTTTCGATTACAAATTTACCATAGGAAAAAAAAAACAAGGGGCCCAAAATAGTTGAGGAGGAAATGAGGACTTGTATTAAACTTGGGCTGGGCCCAAAATAAAATCTGAAAACCGGAATTTCACCGCACAGGCCCGTAAGCATGTGCGCGCCTTACACACGCCCTGCGCGCTTTGGGCACCCTCTTCTTCGTTGATATAAACTTGTAAAACCTGGTTGGTTGTAGCGGCACACCCCATGGCATGCCGCCATTGAAATACCTGCAGACAAACAGACCGCGACCAACTGAGAACACCAGGAATCTCTTTCTCTCTCTCTCTTAGTCTCTCAGACTCTCTCTGGTGTCTGGGTTTTATTCGGTGGAGGCCAATGGGGAAGCACTCGAGTTTGGGCTCTGCTTCCGAGGCCACAGTGTTCATAGACACCAGCCTCGGCACCCACCTCGCCGTCACCGTCTCCCACCACGACACCGTTTCGGCATTCAAAAGTAATGTTATTCCATTCCTTCTCTTTGTATTCTCACTCATAGTCTGATGGTGTTTAGCTACCATTCTACAAAGCTAAAAGTTTTATTCGCTTTTGTTGCTTTGTGTAAAAAGAATATTGCTTTTGAAATACTTGTAATTGGAAAATTGGGTGTTAATGTTTATGGAGAAATTATTGTATGGTAATGTAATACGGTCATGTGATCATACGGTCACCTAAGTAATCTGGGCAAGCTCACACTATTCTGGTTAGCACAAAATACCCAATTGAATGCATTGTGTATCATCTAAGGAGTTAGGTGGGTGATTTATGGTTTTTTAAAAAAGGTGATTCACTCACTTAAACAGTCATCATCTTCCATTTTATTAAGTTTGTGATTTGTCCTACTGTAAGTGATTGTGTAAATCCATTTGACGTGCAGGGAGAATAGAATATGAACATCAATCGTGCTTTACTAGTATGGGGAATTTCACAGTTGAAGCTCTAAAGGTATAATATATGTGCCTTCTTAATAAACTGTGTATTGTCTGAAATATAGCCTTAGTATAAGGACGACTTGTGTGTTTGCCTGGTAGGTAAAGCGGAAAGGATGCTTTTATCACCTATCAGATTCCATGCTTGTTAAAAATGCGTTTAGTGGGGTCAACAAGAACTGGTTTCTGTATGCTGATGCTTCTGATGTTCCTAGAAAAAGGTTGTCCAATTTCAAGGATTCGATCCCATTGCTACTTGAGGGCAACGAACGTGCTAAAGAGAAAGTTACTACAGCTGATCAGAATGGTTCAGTTGATTTTGCAAGAGAAACTTCACAAAATTTGGAGATAGGGGTCAAACATTCTGATAATGATCATTGCACAACTTCAGTTCGTGAGACAATTAATAGGCCAGAACGTGAAATACAGGAGGACCACAGACTATGTAGTGAGGGATACAGAGTTCCCACAACACAAGAACGCAAGGAAGATGGCTCAAGGAAAGAAAGTGATGTCCAACGCAATGTCTCTTTGGAAAAGGCTTCACCTTCTGTAAAGAAAGGACAATGTAAGACAAAACAGAGAAAAAAAGAAACAGTGCATTTAAAAGAAAACGATGCTTCAGTTCATGGATTTGGTAAAGAACAGTCACATGCGGATAGTATCCCTCCTGAAATTTCACCAGGCAATCAGAGTAGAGATTTTTCATGCAATATGACGAATGAAAACAAAAATGCCACGGAAGAACCTTGCAGGAGTTCGGCTTCTACTATGGATAACAGGTCAGATTCCAGAATTCATGGGACTAATGATACATCCAAAGAAACTGAAGGTCCAGGAAAACACATCAAGAGTAGAAAGAATACATCAGTGGAAGAGGCTTCACAATCGCAGCCTGCGGCAAAGAAAAAGCGCAAGTTTGAAAGCATATCTGGTCTTGAGGATTCACTGAAAGAAAACAATGTCTTGATTTGTGATTCTAATAATGAGACTTCCAAGCCAGATATTGCATCTGAGTTCTCTTTATTGGACAAACAGAAAAATGCAAATGCAATCTTAGATGGTGTAACTGCTGAATCTTCTGATTTGTTGACCAACAGTTCCAGCAGGAACAAGAAAAAGAGAAAGAAATCATCAAGTTCTCTCAATCAAGTAATTCCTGCTGCTCCTTCTGAAAGAGATGTTATGGAAGAGAAATCTAAAGTTGCTGCTGCAGGAATTAATGATAAAAATTCTGGTGGAGAAGATGATATAGCATCTGTCAATGAGCAAGAGTTGCGGGAAAATGATGAAGTACCCTCGTCACTAGGTAAGTTGTGTTTGTTATATACTGATATGTGATCTGGTGTAGTTTATTTTCCCATTCTAATTGAGTTTTCAAGAACTTTAACTAGTTTAGAAGGGGGGAAGAAAAGGCCTTTTCTCTGAGATTAATACTGTTTCTTTTGTAGATGTTAATAATATTACTGATGCTGGCAATGTGGAAAGCAAAAGTGTTACGGCCCAGGAAAAATTGGACGGCCATCCTCCCCTTCTTGTCAAAGTTCCCAGTGAAGGTGGAACTGATTGGCCCGAAAGAGTTGGAGAGGAGAGAGAATCATCACACAGAAAGGATTCTGTATTGGCGACAGCTGAAAAGCATAAGTTGCCCAGTCAGGATAAAAGAGATAGGAACGATCCAAATGTAATTGTGACATCTCAATTGTTGGATGCAAATGGATCTGTTACCCCTAGTAAGAAGCAAAGGAAGACCAGAAAAACCAAGGGGTCCACTGGAGAAACTCAGATTAAATCAGGTTCTGAGCATGGAATTTCTTTGGATGGACCTCATGAAGTTGTACATGGTGACCATGCCAGTGATAAAACTAAGGAAGGGGAAAGTAATCTTTCTCAGAAAAATGTGAAAGACGTATCAGAAAAGGAAACGGAGAGTTCTCATTTTGTTAGGAAAACGGATAAACCTGATGGCAATGAGGTCGAGACCTTGGAGCAAATTGGAAAACCTCAAGAAAATGCAGAAAGTATGAATCAGAATATGAAAAATAAATCTAAGAGGAAACAAAGTGCCACGACAAAAAACCTCCTAAATTTGCAAGCAGAAGGGGAAAATGTTGGCATTCTGGATCCAGCATTGACAACTGATAACAAAACAGAGGTAGTAGATAACACATGCAGGAACAGTAAGTTGGAAAAAACAACTCCCGTTAAGCAATCAAATGGGAATGCTGTGGAATCTGATAAGGATTATGGGATTGAAACTGATTTGATCCCTGCACGATCAAATTCCATGTCTATTGAGTCTAAAGTTCCTTCTCTTTCATTAGAACATGTTCCAAATGGGAGGCCTCTTGAAGCTAACGTAACTGGTAACCCTCCTGCAAATGGATGTTCTAATGAGGGCGATAACGACATGGAAGTTTCCTGTGACGGCAATACGGTCAACTTTGACAAGCATCTAGTGCCTAGCCAAAGACAGCATGGAGTTGTTGCTTCTGGCGAAATGCATGCCGAAGAGGTGACTGGAACTAATAGAGTAGATAATAAGCCAAAGGATAAAAAGAAGCGAAAAAAGCTGGATGTACATTCAAGCGGTCCATTCTCTGATCTGCAAAGTCCACTTAAGTCTAATGAAAACCAAGGGATTGGTGGAAAGACTGTAGCTTGCAACTCTAGCTCCATACAACCACAAGGATCACTATCCAAGGGTGATGACGTTATGCCTCAGCATGAAAAAAAGGTTCCAAAGAAAGTTCCTAAAACTGGGACTAAAGCTCCATCATCTGATGTGTCAGGTAAGATGAATTCCGTTTCTGAAGCAGCTCGAAAGCACAGTGTTGCCATGGTTTCTGGGACCAATACTCGTGCAAGAAAAAAGAAAGAAGTTTCTTCTGTATCAAATCCTAACTTGAAAAAATTGAGCAATAAAGCTGACCAAAATAAGATGGGTAACAAGCGTCAATCAGGTGTGAACCGAACTCGTGTGGCCGGTGGAAAAGCTTCTGGTATTGATCATGGGGAAGTTGTAAACAGCTTACAAAACAAAAAGTTGTCAGCTATACCAAGGACAATATTCAAGGATGACAGTAGTGGAAGTTCTGAAGATGAAGACGAAGTTGACGTTTCACAAGCAAGCACACAAACTCCGTCAGATTATTCATCGTCATCTAGCTACTCAGATGGGGAAAGCAATGCAGATATGAGCTCGCCAAGAAGCGGTAACTTTAAAAAGAATTCCTGTCTTGGATTATTGGAACCTGCTGCAGTTTTTAGTTTATGACTTCCTTATCTGACACATTGCATTTTTCCACAGGAAATGCTAGCGTGATAAAATCATGGTAAGTTTGTTAGGAATTATGCCTCTTTAAGGGAAAAAAAAATTGTAAGTGTAATGGGGATTCTTTGCTGAAAACTAAGAAGCATTATTGTTTCTTTCGAAGTGTTTTTTTTTATGAATTCTTTCGAAGTGTTTTGTTCTCATCATCTGAGTCTTTTCGTGTATTGTTCTATAGCAGCACTTCAGGCATAAAGGACCTGAAATGGACTGAATTGGCTAAAAGTTCAAGCACATTCAAGAAGGCTAAATTTACAGCGTCCCAATCACCGCCAGAGGATGATGAAATTGTTCCAGACAGTCAGCCTATCTCCTAGTCTTCTATGTTTTCTTATTTACCCTCCGAGTCCTGGAGCTTTTTTCTTTTTCATTTGCTGTAGCTGTGCAAGTGTGCAGCAGTTTTGTTACGAATCGAAGAGTTCTATTTTTCGGCCCGCAAGTAGTAACAGCTTATTTGACTATATAATCATGGATGCAACTTGCAAGCACAAAAGTGCTTTTTTGTATCACGATTTGTCTCGTAAAGAAGTAGCCAAATACAGTTTGTTACTCGTTTTACCAGGCAATTAGTAGCTCCGTTAGTTTTTAGCTTTATGTTATGCTACTAGCCAACAAAATCATGCATTGGGGCCATTACAATTGGATCCCAGCTTTGTAATCTACAATTTGTTCTAATCCTTTTTCAAATCAAAGGAGAATTTCGATTTAAGCAAAAGACAATAATTGGCTCCATCCTTCATGTTCCCATTAACCTTTTTTTTTGTATGCACCATTGATTGAGCACATAGTTGGTGGCATAGTATAGTCCAATTAACCCAATGAATATATACAAACTTTATTAGCCTTAAAATACTCCACCCAAGAAAGATCATGGGTTCGAGTTTTAGCATCCCTATAATGTGTGTGAGTTTAGTATACTATCGCCCTTCTTAATAGAAAAGCTCTTGAAAAAAATACTCCAAAGTAAAAATAATCAATATATATCATCATTCTAGTACCCTGCAACATATCCACAGCTCGAATGCCCTTTTGATTATAATTAATTAAAAATCAAAGCATATCTATCCATTAGACAATAAATTTGATGATTTTGATGGCAAATTTGATTCAGTCGATCAATTCAACAAGCATAAAATGACAAACGGATCGATTTTTCTTTTTTTCTAATAGACGTCTCTATATGCACACATCATAGTAATTCTACCAAATTAAATGAGAGATTTTTTTAAAAAAAATTGAAGTGAATAATATATTGCAAATATTTGCAGAGAGAGAGAGAGGCAATATTGGGTCAATCAAGACCGTTGGATGTGTTCCCCGTATCCCGTTTCCCGTTTCATAAAAACCGCCTCCGTGTTAGCCCCAAACCCGTCAATCTCCCTAACCTGAACCAACTCAGACCTCCGAAACATCTCCACCAACGGCTTGATACTAAACAGGTCATTCGCCGAGTACTTATCCGTCCGCCTCGCAACCGCCACGTGTAGAACGCAGACGCCACGTGGCTTCAACGTCCGCTCGATCTCCGCAACGAACTTGTCCGGCAACAGCGCGTGGTCGAACACGTTGGAGAACTCGAAGTCGAAGGTGTCGTTGCCGAAGGGCTGGTTGTGGAAGTCCCCTTTCACGACCAGCGGCGGGTAGGGCACGAGGTCGATGCCGACTGAGTCGGACACGCCGACTCGGCGCAGCGCCTCGACCTCCTGGCCGACTCGTGCGCCGATGCAGAGGGATTTGGAGTCGTTGGAGAGGAGGCTCCGGCGCTTTAGGTGCTGAAAGAATTGGGAGAAGACTTTGATCTTCCGGTCCCAGTCGCGGGTGATCCAAACTTGTCGCAGCCTAGGGTTGAGGGTCTTGTTGACCTGGCGCTCGATGTAGGCTTCGTACGAGGTGTAGCCAGGTCGGATTCGGATGCCTCGGGTGGTTATGTTGGGTACGGTTGGCAGGCGGATGTCACCTGGTGCGGCGGCGGTCCAGCGGAGGTTTTGAGGTTGAAGACGGAGGACAAGAAGGAGAATGGGGAGAGCGAGAAGGAGAGAGAGAAACACGTATTTGAAAGTGAGAAGTTTTGGTTGAGTGCTGGTTTTCATGTTGTCTCTGCATGAACTTTCCAATTCGTTGAGGAGAAGGAGATGATATATATGGGAGAATAACTCTCTTTAACCTCTTCTTTTGGACTTTCTCTCTTCTAATTATAATACGTGTTATTTTTTAACATTTTAAACTATATCATTAATACGTCATACAAGTTGGCTTTTTCTTTCCAAACCCTTTATAAAAATAAAAAAATTTGCACACCCTTCACGATCACAGACCAACTTGCCCTCTTATCACTGTGCTCTACAACAAGCACATCCTTATGCTGCAGATATTGCGATGAGGGATTGAGTTGCAGAGATTGGAAGAGAGAAGAAGAAAACTGGCGGAGAGAAAGAAAAAAGAAAGAGAGAGAAGGAAAAGAGAGAAAAAAGAAAGAGTGGAAAGAGGGAGAGAAAAAAGAAAAGAAAAAAAGAAAGAGAGAGAAGAGAGATATAAACCGTTCAAATAATCACACTGTTAAAAACAGGACTTCTCCGTATAGAGACTAGTCTCTCCACACCGCGCGAGAGGTTTTTTTTTAAAAAATTAAAATTTATTTTAGAATTAAAAAAGATAATATGTAGTTGTATTCCATAAAAATATGCTCAATTATCTGATTTTTATTTTATTTTTTATTTTTTTAAATATGAAAAAGTGTGAATTTACCATAGTTAATTAATAATTTCAATTCTTAATGTTTGCATTAACCAATGACATTTTCTGACTTTGTTGCCAGATAGATATTAATGTTATAAAATTATAGATATGTAAATAACAAATTCAGATAACAACTTAATTACGTGCTAAAATGTTTAGATTCATTGTAATTAGCTAGCTAGCTAGTACAAGTTGATTTGTTTTTATATGTGTTCAAGTTGAATATTAACAGATGGATGATGCAAAGAGTTACATATGACATATTTAAACCTCCTTATTGGCTCGATGCCTTTGCCTTAATTTTATATATTTGGCTGTGGAACAAAATATAGTTAGTGCATGCAAGATGTCGTTATTGCATGAGTAAAATGGACCGAGCAACAAAACTATATGCTCACTAATTCATATGAAAATGCAACATGGTTTCAAGGAAGATTAATTTATATTATATTTAACTTTACTTTCTCTTTAGAAAACGGCCAGGGAAGATTATTGTAAATGAAGCAACCAACGAGAAAGGGAGACGTGGTATGTGAGTGCGCATGCCGGCAGCACGACTCTAAGTGATAAACATGGACGCTTTTTTTGGCTTTGTCTCTTTGGCTTGGGCTATGTGACCTCTCTGTGTGTGACCATCTCTTCTGTTCAAGCCTGCGCCTTGATCAGTTACAAACAATGAAACATCAACCAGGACCCTCCATTTCATGTGTTAAAAACGTCCAGAGACAGCGAGAAAAGGAAAAGGAGAAAAAAGAGTTATATTCATCAACAAATCCTCAAGATAAACCTGATATGCCTATGACTCTAAACTAAATCCACATAGAAATAAAAACCCTTTCTATTGGTACTAGTCCCGGTGCCTTAATAATATTTGGTTCTATATTAAGTTCTATAAAGACACCGGGACTAGTACCAACTGAATTCTAATCTTACTCGAATCCTAGCAATCCCAAACAACTGTGATGACCAAATTCTTGTTGGATATGAACTTTATTCCAACATTTAGTTGTTTTTGCGGTTCAAGCCCCAAAAAAAGAAGGAAGAAAGTGTGATTTGTGAATTATGATTAGAATTGAATTGATACAGAGTTGATAGAGATTGCTAGTATACCATATTTAATTTGTGAAAACCTCTGAATTATATATATGATAATACACAGTAGTTACACATCAAACCCTACTGATAATAAGATATATCTCTGAACACTTGGGCTAGCATATAAACAGAGAGAGAAAAAGAAATGCTAATATGAAAAGAGAGAATATTAATTAATCCCATTAACAAAAGGTGCAATATTACAAGTAAATTGATTAACATTGTGCCATCGCACCCTTGACCAAAACCCATCTCACTAAGACCTCATCTTGTTGATTTGGTTCAAAGCCGGTTGTAGAATGTTGTACAGGACCCAAATAATGGCAGGAGCAACCACAAACAGCAAGAGCTGGCCCCTGTTGTCATTAGCAGGAGCATCAGCAGCAAGCATGGCAATTTCACTGGCTGAGGCAAGTGGTGTTGAAATGAATCCGGATGCAGCCAACCCACCAAGCCCAAGCCCCACGATGACCCCTTTGTTCTGCATGCGGTTGATCTGGTTCAGGGCTGGCTGGAAGATGTTGAAGAGAACCCAAGCTATGGCTGGAATGAGGGGTAGCAGAAGAGCAAGGCCACGGTTGTCGCCTTCGGCTATTTGGGCAATCTGTTGAGCAGCCATGGCAGGGTCAGAGGAGCTCAAGGTGGAGAAGATGGCTCCAGCAATTGCTGTGCTGGCTAAAGGGGACATGTTGATGCTGGGAATTTCAACTGGCTTTGAGGAGGTTAGGCCTTTTGGGAGGTTTTGAAGTGAGAGAAGGGAGGTGGGTTTTGTGGTTAGCTTGGTGACGACCTTGGGAGTGTTGGTGCTCATGCACTTGGCATTGATTATTGCCATTGTAGCCATGGTTGCTGCCATTGATTTAGTGCTTCTGTGGAGAGCTTGGATTGCTTGCTTGGATTGCTTGATGTTCAGGTGTGCAGGCAGAGGGATTGGTAAAGGCAGTGAGATCAGATGATGGGCTTCAATGGTTGGTTGTAGTGGGGAAATGTGGAAAATATAGATGTGGGGCAAAGTCAGGGCAATGGGATCCAATAGAAATGTGTTATGTGGATTCTTTTCTTATCCAGAGAGTGTGATTGGTGAAACAAGAACCTCATATTCATACCCCATAACATTTTCTTATCTCTTCTTGTAAACAGAGTTTTGTTGATAGCTAAAACACAAACTTGTTAAGTTCTTCGTTAGTCATGAGGCTCTAGAATGGTCTAGATACATTAGCACATGGTCCCCTAACCTCTATTCCTTTCAAATTCAACAACTTAATTAGCATAGGAAATGGTACATCATTTGAAAAGTTGAGAAATTTTTTAATGTAGCAAATAGTATTATTAATTCACTCATGTTATCATATGCATTTTTATTTATTAACATTATACCGTAGCTCCATGAAATATAAATCATTTTATTCATCTATATTATAACACGTGAATTAATAACATTACGTTCATCAACTCTATAACTAGAACAAATATTCAATATCATGGGCTATGCCAAGCCTTTGAACACCTAATTTGGGTCACCATGGATGGTTGTCTAATGGGGCAGTAGTTGAAACTTGAAAGTTGAAGCATAGGAGAGCCAAGGCCCAAAGCTCACCAACCAAAACTAGATAGGTAAAAACAAAAAAAAAAAAAAAAAAAAAAAAAAAAAAAAAAAAACCAAACGACAAGTCGTTCGATAGAGATATTTTGCCGTTCTGGTCAATTTGCCACAAAGAGTCCCGTAAAATTGGAAAATGGAAAGCCCAGCCGTCCTTTCCGGTTCATCCTCATTCGCATGAATCGCATATCCAAACAGTCAGTCATCAAGAAGCAGGACATGATAAACCCACACTCAGCTCTTTGCACCAGCTCCAGCTTCTAGGGTTTCTAATTTCTCAAATTCGAATCCCAATCCCCTTCAAAAATGGCTACTTTATCCTCGTTTCGACCAAGCCTTGTCCTTGTCCCAACTCCGAAGCCCCCGAACCCTCTCCTCCCTCGAACTCACCACCACTACGGCTTCTCGCAACCCAAGCCCTTCCTCCGAGGCTCGCTCGCTGTGGCTCGGCTCGGCTTCGGCCCCGGTCCGATTCCCGAACCGGAAGACGCCGGAGCTGTCTTGAAGGAGCTGTATGACAGAGCCGAGAGCTTGCTTTACACGGTGGCCGATGCGGCGGTGTCAGCTTCGTCGTCGACGGAGAGCGTGAGTGCAACGAAACAGAGCAGTGATTGGCTTTCTGGGATTACCAATTACCTTGAAAGCGTTCTCAAGTTTTTGAAAGATGGGCTCTCTGCTGTGCACGTTCCCTACTCTTATGGCTTTGCCATCATACTCTTGACCCTCCTTGTTAAAGCGGCTACCTTCCCGTTGACCAAGAAACAGGTTGAGTCTGCCATGGCTATGCGGTCCTTGCAACCTCAAGTGAAAGCTGTACAAGAACGCTATGCTGGGGATCAGGTGCAAATTGCAATTCATACCATCTTTCTTTCACATTGTATAAAATGTACGCATTCATTATTGATTGAATCTTTGATGTTGATGAGCTCAAGTTATAAACTTTTACTTGTAGGAGAGAATTCAACTTGAAACTGCTCGATTGTATAAATTAGCTGGCATAAACCCTTTGGCAGGTATAGTTTCTTTCGAAACTGTAATTTCTAAAATTTAATTTATTGCTCAATCTTATTATTCTGCTTTTTGTGCCAGGATGCCTGCCTACGCTTGCAACAATCCCAGTATGGATTGGGTTATATAGAGCTCTTTCAAATGTGGCAGATGAGGTACCAGCTTCGTATTTGTCTTCATTGATTCTTAGAAACTTCCTTTTTCTCCCCTTATCTCCTTCAACTCTGCATAACTGTTTAACATTTCTTTTATTAAGGGACTCCTTACAGAAGGCTTCTTCTGGATACCCTCCTTGGCCGGTCCTACAACAGTTGCTGCTCGACAAAATGGAAGTGGCATCTCTTGGCTTTTTCCATTTGTAGTGAGTGTCTTCACCTTCAAGCTAAAACACTCCATTTGTCTCTAGATATTGCCCCAAACATTCCATCTTACAAGTTTTTCCTTGAAACTAAGTAGCTATTTGGTTCGAACTCAGAATTCTTGTAACTGAACACTTCTGCTCATTATAGCTTTTTACAAATCTCAAATTGCTCTGTTTCCTGTTTCTGGTGTCCTACTATTAAATATGTCTTTTTATTTAAGGATATTTTCGATGCACTTGAAAGTTGATGGTTGTGATGCTTGCTTTAATAGATATCTGATTTCTAACCACCTATGATTTGTGGAATTTGGATTTACTTTTGGTGCTATTAAATTTCTCAGGATGGCCATCCACCCCTTGGATGGTCAGACACCTTGGCATATCTTGCCTTGCCTGTTTTGCTGGTTGTCTCACAGTACATATCTGTTCAAATCATGCAGTCATCACAGGTCAGTGATTTCCGTGGTCCAAATTGACCTGGTTAGATAAACTTAGCACTTCTAGGGTCTAATCTTCTTGATACAGTGATTTCTTATTTGAGTCAGATTTATTATTTATTATTCTTTTTGTGTTATCCTTTTTGTTTATTAATTAACACGTGTTATAACTTTCAGAGTAACGATCCGAACATGAAGAGTTCTCAAGTTATTACCAAGTTTCTTCCTTTAATGATTGGTTATTTTGCTCTTTCAGTGCCTTCTGGTCTAAGTCTCTATTGGTGAGTAGATGTAAAACCCTTTTGTTTTATGAACACCATTGAAGTTATTTTTTGCATTTTTTGGAATTGTAGTGAATCATAAATCTGTATCATGAATACAGTGGAAACATTCTTTTTTGGAGATAGTCCTGCCTATGTTATCTTACATCTTTGAGATATTTTTTTGCAGGTTCACAAATAACATACTGACCACAGCACAACAAGTATGGCTTCAAAAATTTGGGGGTGCAAAAAATCCAGTTAGTCAATTAAATGATAATTTTATCAAGGAAGATGAACTCCAAATTCAAAAGTCTGTCTCTGAATTAAAGTTAACACAAAAGGATACCAGACAAGAAGAAAAGTTGACACCAGAGGGTCTAAAGCCTGGTGAAAGGTTAATAGTCCTTCCTGCCATTTCTCTATGTTTTTGCCGCACTTTACTATTGTAGTCTTAATCTGTTGAGATATTCCAGATTTAAAATGATAAAGGAGCAAGAAGCTCGGAGAAAACAACAAAGAGAAGAAGAAAAGAGAAAAGTTGAAGAGGCAGCAGCCAAGGGAACTCAAATAACTAATGAGCGACATGAGGGAGAAGCCAGATTACTTGATAATGAAAATGGAGCTGCAGTTGAATTAGTTGTTGAAAAGAGTGAAGGACGTCATTCTCAGACTACAACCCATAGTTCCTCTGATGTTGGAGTTTCTGTGAATGGTGATCGGTCTATACAGGACTTGAAAGAAGATCACAACACAGTGTCTGTGTTGAAGATGGAAAACAGTGAAGTTTCTGCTAATTTAGAGGTTGAAAGGAGGGATGAGCAGAAGTCGGATGAGAGTCAAGGAGACGGAAAGGTATTCGGAAGTATGCTTTGACATATTGCACTCTGCATTGCATCATTATTTTTGACTTCCGATTAGTGATTGCCTCTGTTACAATTGTTCGACTTGATAAAAAGAAAAAAAAACAGGTGTATTATTAACATATACATACGTATGCTTGCATTATTTTGGGCTTACCTTTTGATTAGCAATTGCCAAATTTTCTATATTTTCAGGAATCTGTTGATGTACGAACTTCCACGACCACTGTGGATACAAAAGTTTCTGGAGAAGGCGCACATCAAGTGAGAGGGGAGTGACCCACCAAAGTGTAAGCATTGTTGAGATAGCATTGGTGAGTCAATTTAATCAGATTGAAAGCAACCCTGACATTCAAAAGCAATACACGGTGTATATTATATCTGAGACAGAGGAGTGGGATCAACAAGATTTTCGGATTTTTGCTGTGTAGCTGTAACAAGTTTTTGAATATGTCCTGTAGAAAGAAAAAAAAACTGCTCTGCCTTCTGCTTCTCGGTGGCATGGCATGTATGATCTTTGTAGCAAAAATTTCCATATTTTTTTGTTAGATTAGATGAGAAGAAGGGGAAATGGATAGGAAATTAAGCAGATGTGTTCGATTCTTTTTCATGTCACAAGGTACGAATAAATGATATAAAATTTCAGCTCGTTACTTTGCTTCTTTCTGATAGTCTTCAGCTGGTTAATTTGGAGTTCCTTTGTCGTGTAATTTTCTCAGGCTGCCTTGTTGAGTTCCCTGTTGCCACGTGGTTTTTGTCGTTTTGACTGTATGCTGTATTTGAACTGATGGCTTCATAGAAGGAGGAAAAAGAGAGGGACAAAAACAAAAAGGAAAAACGACATGGCCATAGGTTTCATCAATTAAAAGAAAGTCAAAACAAAACAAACCGGCCAATTACGCTATGTCACGGGATAACTTTTATATTTGACGGAGCATAATTGGTTGAAAAGAGTAAAACAATACTATTTTTGTGATATTGACAGAGCATAATTGGTTGAAAAGAGCAAAACAATACTATTTCTGTGATAACTTTTATATTTGACATAGCATATTGGTTGGAAAGAGCAAAACAATACTATTCCAGTTCCGTATAAGTTTTTCTGACTTAAGAGGTTTTGTCCACTTTTAGCGGAGTCCTCTCTGCTGTTGGTAGTTACGTGTATATGTGATTATTGACTTAGCGTACACGTAGAAGGTAACCTACAAATGATGTTTTCTTCGAATAGAATAAGTGTGACGCTTTGCATATTCTACTAAGCTAAGATATTCTCTCTCTCTCTCTTCTCTCTCTCTCTCTCGATATTATAAAACTTTTCACGTAAATAAAAAATCATTTTAACTCTCTTCTTTACCTAAGAGTATAAACTCATATAATTACCCTAAATTCCATTTAATTACTACTTATTCACTTCAATAACTTCATATGTGTCAACATTTATATATTAATACTGATTAGTACTATTAATAAAAAGGTACGTACTTGATTATGCAATCAAACAATCGGTAAGATTCCTACAAATTAAATTCAACTGAGATACTAAAATATTCTGCAATTACAACAATCACTTTAATTCGAAAGTTATTCATATACATACTTAAATCATTGTTTACTCAAATCTACGTGAAACGCACATGCCTCAGTGACAAGTGTGTTATTATAATTACTATAATTATATTTATCTCCCCAACAAGTGTGTTAGTTTTAGCCTTGCTATTTATCTCCCCAAAGCTCTTGTCAAAATGACAATAATTGATGGCAACATGAATTAGTTAATTAATTAAATAGGCTGGTCTTGGACGGGCCTGGTGTAATATTCCGAGACAATCTGGATAAACAAAGCACATGAATTATGCATATAATTCTACTCTGAATATATACATGTGGATTTTGTTTTGTGTATCCATACATATCAAGTTACAAATTATTTAACCAAATCATTAGTTGCAATTAATGCTGCTTAATTAGCGGTAGGTGAGCTTCTCACGGTCTCTTTATAGCACTGGTGCTGTAAAGGGTCTTCTTAGTCCTCTCTCTGTCAATTCTGAGTGAGCTAGACTTGACTTTGTAATAGTTATTACTCAATGTCTTGCTGGATTTATTTTTCCTGATTTATTATATGCAAGAACCTCCATCTAAGGTATATTCTTCTTATACATCTCTTATTAATGGAATTATGTTTGTTCTCATAAAATAAATAAAATAAATAAAATAAATAAATAAATAAATTAGCGGTAGGTGAGAGTTGAGAGCACAAATGAGTTTCTTTGTCTGCAATTATCAAACAATCCGACATGCAGTGCAGGCAGGCAAAGTCTGTAAAACCAATTGCCAAAGTGAATTATTAGATCGCCATTTTTATTAACCATATTATGCAAGCTATATAGCTGTCACACCACACTACTACAATTAATGCAGATTTAGTGCATGGCACGCATTTTCATTCGGTCTGCCGTAAATCGCAATGTTTAAGTTGGATTTGGATGGAAGCTTTTAACAAATTAAAAACGCTAATCATAATTAGTAAGGCAATCATATCCTAGCTTGCTCCCTAAGCTTGACTTCGTCTGTACAACCCTATCGCTAGCTATTCGTACTATTTCACATGACAAATTAACGCACATGCACGAAACCTTTTAATTTTGGTCGGACAGAAGAGCATTCGCTTTAACCACACTCGATTAACATTAAGTTCCACCTTAACTAAACATCATCTAATTTTCCATCAAAAGAAGAATTAATAGATAGACAAAACACAAACAACCTCTACAACTACAAAGGGTTCACGCAGTCCCCAACACTTTTCCTTTTGATTAAGGTGTAGTATTTGTTGAACGATGTTAGAGATTAATATTTCACACTAGTAACAATGATGAGTTTGCATTTATAAGACAGATGGTGCTGTCTGTTTCACAAGAACTGCTGCATCCCCTTCTTGTATATATTCATGTCGACATTGGATGACATACGACCTATATATATAATATATTTTATACACCTCACCCTGCATCATCATTGCTTGAATGTTCCCAAATAGGATTCATAAAAAGCATTCGATCTACCAACTTGTATTTTCAGACATGTACACTTAGGTATTGGCCATCTTTCTTATCCATCGATACTTACGAAATGATTTTTCTTTTAACCAATATAAACCTATATATGCATGGTAAAGTCCCCACCCACCGGTGTGAGAAAAAATTTCTTGTAACGAGGATAACACTGTTTTACTATTTCTGACTAATAATACAAGGACACGTAAAAAAATTATTACACCTTTCATTGTGCTATTGGCTAGGAATAACAAAAAATAATAGCTTTCTTGCATGAAGGACTCTCTCCACCAGCGTATATTAGCCTGCACTGCACCGACTTAATGTTCATTGGTAAAGGAAACAGCAGAAAAGAAAAGAGTAGAGCTAATATACTAGTTTACTTTAATTGGAAGGATGATCTTGTAATGGAAAGATCAATGATAACTATATCTACGGCGCTTAATGGCGAGATTAAAAGGAGAAACCATGATTTTTACCTTTTAACCTTTTCCATGATGAGATCGGGTTTTTATGCAAGAATTCACGGCATGCAAGAAGCTTCTGTCTTTCATACATGTTGCATAATGAAAGCCTATGTTTCCTTGTGCCTTTGACAGCTAATTCAGTTGCATGTGTGTCCCTTTAACACCTGGCTCATTGATCGACAGACCCACACAACCCAACCCAAGTTGCTTTCAGACGATCGATCAAGGTGTAATTTAGACCTTTTTAGGAGAGATAAAAGAAAAGTTACCTGTCATGAAAGAATATGCTTGTAACTTAAGTTTTGTATCCCTTTCATAATAAAGCAAAAGGAGGACCGAAATGTTTTGGCATGGTAAATGCATGAAGGTCCTCATTTAACAGTTATGAAGCTTCATAGAAAAGATGGGGGTTTTTTTATTTATAAAAAGGATGTAATGAGGACACTCAATACAACAACAAATATTCAGGCAGATTGGGTACTTTTCACTCTGTGATTGCCCTGTTAAATAAAATGCTTTTGGTATGTATTATAGAATTGTTGACCTCTCCTCAATAATAATGACCTTTAATTTAGAGCCGCATAGGTGAGGGTATGCTAGGTAGATTAGCACTAGTCGGTATGCCCCTGTTATGCATTGGGACCAATGGGCATCCAGACTAGAGGGTAGAAATTAATAAAGATATATGTTCTTTCTGAGATTATTGTTTCAGTTGCAAGTAGTTTCAAATTTCATTTCAAGCAACAGTACAACAGTACAACACACATTTATGTGCAACAATTTCCTCGATGCTGTCAGTGGCCTACTTCAGCATAAATGCATAAAATTTCATTTAGAAAAATATAAAAAAGTGGAAGAAGGCCTACTTGTAATAAATTTCCTCGATGTTCGACTATAAAGATTTTAAACACCACATAATCTTGCTACGATCGTAATGTATAATCATACTACGATCGTAATGTATGAGACTTAAACATCTTCATTTTCTAAGTGAAGTGATAATGTTGAACTAAAACTCATAAGCAAAATTACTGTTGTTATTACATTCACCTTGATGGAAGGAAGCACACGTTACCCTAGAAATTTGATTCCAAAACGTCTTGAACAATAACAAAATGAAATAATTAATTGTCACCATTCACCAATTAGACCTTGAAAATGATTTCAATGAGTAAAAAGTTTATAAAGGGACACTCGGAGAGTTTATATAATCCTCTTATCTTCCTCATAGTTTTCACCTTAGTTTTCGTAAAACCATAGGATGTGATAAATCTGTTGGAGGAGAAATTATAGAGAGAGAGTTACCATAGTCAAGAGGAAGCTGACGTGTAGGAATGAGCATACTACAAATATATAGCAAGTAAAAGCTTAATCACCACCCAAGCAAAGAGAGACCTCACCTCCCAAATCCCCATAGAAAAGAAAATAAAAAAGCTCTCAACTATTCATATTCATCCACTCTCTCAAAGCCAAAAGACCAAAATTCCTCTTCCTCTTTATCTCTAAATCCTTTGAGAAATATCTCATACCACTCTCTAGGATAAACAGAGAGCCTTCTTGATCAAAAAGCCCACTTCTTTGCTCTCTAATTTGATCCAAGTTTTGCTGTGTTTGTCTAAGAAAAACGTCAAATTCTCTTCAATTGTTGACGGATGCAGATGGGTTTTCAGGAATCGTGGGTTGCTCTGATATGTAATATTCATTTCCTAGTTGTTGGGTCTCGATCTATAACGATGATAATGCAGAATTGAAAAAGTTTGGTTAAGCATGTGTTTGTGTTCTGTTTTTGCTAGATTCTTCCTCTCCTGGCTGATTTTGGTTGTTGATCAAGTTTTCTCAATGGTTTTGGATTTTTCTAATGATTTTGTGATCTAGGTGTGCCAAAATTTTTTATCTTTCTGGCTAATTCTTGGCAAAAAAGTTTGCTTGTAACTGCAACCCCTGTTATTGGTGTTAAAAAATGGAGGTTGATTTTGCTTGCTTGGTCCATTTTGATCAGGTTAATCTGACCCGTGTCAGTTATAATGAGTTTCCGTGGATGAAATTTTCTCCTTTGATGTCAAAATTCTTTCCTTTTTTTGGTTGTTTTTTGACGGTGGGAATATCCATTCATGGAGGACTAGTATTCCTCTTCTCAAAGTTTCCATCTTTTAGTGTACCTCAAGTTTGTATTACTGTTTTAAGGTTTTGGGTTTCTTTGTTAACCCCTATTCATTTGGAAAGTCTGAAAATTTGCGGTTTTGGCTTTGGTTGAACTATGATCAAAATGGTCGGGTTGGTTGTGAATTTCTCTGGTTTCGAATTTTGCAGATGTTTGGTCTTTTGTTGTAAACGATTTTGAATCCTCAAGTCCAGTACATACCTTCTGTTCTGTTTCTTTGACACCATTTCTTATGACATGTTGATTGGACATAACTTGTTGCAATATTTGTTCTTGTAGTTGCTGTCATATAAAGAGTTTTTTTATAGGTATGTTTTTTTTTATTTGTAGGTTTGAGACTTGAAGTTTGTTGATCAATAAACATATTTGTCAAGGTATCCCTGCATAGATTCTCCGTGAATAAAATTAGCAAGAATTTGTTCAAGTTTTAAAACTTCAGATGCTAATGCTGGATAATTGAGAGGAGTAATGTGGTAATTGTTGTACCAATATTTCATAATTTTCAGCAATTTAGAACTTCTCATTTGCAAAGCTTGGCCACTGCAAATTTTGGCAGTGCCAATGGATGCCACAGCGAGCGGAACCCCAACTATACAATACCATAACATTCCTGACCAGCCAATTACCACTATTGTTGTTGCCACTCCTGTACCAACATTCGAAAGGCGGCAACGCCATTGCTTTGGGACCTCCATCCCCGGAGAATTCCCTTTAGCTGCCAACCCCTCCATTGTCCTTCATGTCCTTACTGCATGCAATTTGGATCCTCAAGACCTTGCAAAGCTAGAGGCAAGTGACCTGTTGCTCTCAAGTTTGGTAATGTATCGGTGTTTTAACTCTTAGAATTGATAATGCTGCTGGTTTGATTTTGGATGTGTGTGTTGCAGGCAACATGCTCCTTTTTCAGGCAGCCTGCAAACTTTGCTCCTGACTTTGAATTGTCCATGTCAGAGCTTGCTGCTCTGGACATGTGCCAAAAGAGAGGTATATTTAAGCCAATGACAGCTGAGCAACGTCAAGAATTGAAGCAAAGATGTGGGGGTTCATGGAAACTGGTCCTGAAGTTCTTGTTGGCCGGAGAGGCATGTTTCAGAAGGGAGAAATCACAGGCAATAGCAGGGCCGGGTCACAGCATTGCTGTAACTTCAAAAGGAACTGTCTATTCATTTGGCTCTAACAGCTCAGGACAGCTTGGACATGGCACCACTGAAGAGGAATGGCGGCCTCGGCAAATCAGGTTGCCAATTATTGATCACTCCTTAGACCTGATTCTGTAAAATGCAAGAAAAAGGAAAGAGAAATAGTTGACTTAAAAGAAAAGTTAATGGAACTCCGTTATGTTGCAGATCTTTGCAAGGCATTCGAATTGTTCAGGCAGCTGCTGGGGCTGGCAGGACAATGCTGATCAGTGATGCTGGGAAAGTTTATGCCTTCGGAAAGGACTCTTTTGGCGAAACTGAGTACGGGGTTCAAGGATCAAAGCTGGTCACTACTCCACAGTTGGTTGAATCTTTGAAAGATATATTTGTGGTGCAAGCTGCAATTGGAAATTTCTTCACAGCCGTGTTGTCAAGAGAGGGCAGGGTATATACATTTTCTTGGGGCAACGATAGCAAACTTGGTCACCAAACTGAGCCAAATGATGTTGAGCCCCATCCTTTGTTGGGCGCACTTGAGAATGTACCCGTGGTACAAATTGCAGCGGGATACTGCTACCTTCTTGCTCTGGCTTGTCAACCTAATGGCATGTAAGGATCGTCTTCATCTGTTTGTCTTGATAGCTTTGAGCATTCTGATTGTATCAAACAAAAAAAAGTTTCCTGTTTTTGGACCCCAAAAGGTGTTTGTTATTACAGTAGTTGCATTAAATGTTATGTTATTATTACTTGTTTATATGATCTGGAAACATATCAGGTCCGTTTACTCTGTTGGCTGTGGCTTGGGTGGGAAGCTTGGACACGGTTCAAGAACTGATGAGAAGCAACCCCGACTTATTGAACAGTTTCAGCTTCTGAACCTTCAGCCTATGGTTGTTGCTGCTGGTGCTTGGCACGCCGCTGTGGTGGGCCAGGATGGACGGGTCTGCACATGGGGCTGGGGCCGTTATGGGTGCTTGGGTCATGGGAATGAGGAGTGTGAATCAGTTCCTAAGGTTGTGGAAGCATTGAGCAATGTGAAAGCAGTGCATGTTGCTACAGGGGATTACACAACCTTTGTGGTTTCCGATGATGGTGATGTGTACTCATTTGGTTGCGGAGAATCAGCTAGTCTAGGACATAGTACTGCTACCGACGGACAGGTCTTGGTTATTACTGCATTATTTCCTATTTCATATATTACTTGAGCTGTTTTTCTTGGTTACACGAAGGTTTTGCCTCTTAACTCACATAGCAGAAAGTTCATATGTAAAATTAATCTGTGAACATAGTGAATGATTCCAGAAATCTGATACACTTGTTCTGAAATGTAACCAAATTGCAGCACATCATCTGATAGCTATAAAATGACTTGACCATCCTAAAATAGATTTGATGCTTTCCCAGTATATGTAAAAATGTATTGTTTTTGGTCACATTTACTACCACCTGTTTACTGCTTCCTATATCAGTAAGATTCACACGTTTGCACTGAAGTGTATTGTGTATCTTACAGGGAAATAGGCATGCAAATGTGTTGGCACCAGAGCTTGTGACATCGCTGAAGCAAGTGAATGAGCGGGTTGTACAGATCAGCCTCACCAACTCCATATACTGGAACGCTCACACTTTTGCACTCACTGAATCAGGGAAGCTATACGCATTTGGAGCCGGGGACAAAGGGCAGCTTGGCATTGAGCTTGTTGCCAACCAGACTGAAAGGGGAAATCCAGAGCAGGTTGATATTGATCTCAGATAGAGTTCATCACAGTATCAAATCAATAGCTTTCCTTGCCACACCACCACCAAGCTTCTTTTATCCTCTAATTTATCATCATCATAACGCATTGCATTTGATGTTTACATTTCCATGTCTATTTTGTACATAGAAACAAAGAATTATGAAGTCTGAAGCTGTAGGGGTACATAGGGGCCTAAGACAAATGCTAAATGGTTGTTGATATCTGAAAATGTTGGCTTTGCACTTAGGCTTCAAGTAGTTGAATAGCTGATACATTTGTCAAGGTTCAGTCATCTCATAACTTGTGTATCTCAATTAAATTGATAATTTATCTGCTTGGGTTAAAAATGGGGGAAACTGTAATTCAATTCATGCATCATTTTCCCTCTCCTTTTAAGATCAATGTTGGCTTAAGTTTGCCCTTTGATCAACCCAAGTCAAAATATTGCAATGCTTGCTTGGCCGGTGGAATTGTTAGTTGTGGGGGCCACTGTCCACTTGGGTCACAGAAGTATGCCCCAGCTCTGAACTGGTGGGCAGACAGCTTTTGTGTGGAATGAAACATGAGGATGGAGTTCATGAAAATTGAATGTCAACTTAGATCTTCTGCCACTCATTCTGAGTTGAGTTTTGCATCGACTATTATTGGATCGGATGGCTGGGAATATTAGGCCCAAAACCAACAGAGCATAAGAATTGGAGGCCCAGTCTTCTAGCCAAGTCCAAATTTCTGGTTCACAGGCTTTAGGCACCATATACATATAGGGCTTGTTTGGTTTGCGGATTGAACTTATTGGGAACAAACTTCCCATGTCTAATCTCACGAGATAGGAATGGAGGATGTTCATTCTCATATTTGGGAACGGTGGGAAATGAGGACTAGAAAATGTCATTTTCTCCCATTCTTATGTTTGGTTAGAGCATTGACAATGGGCTTCTTAAATTACCTCATTGGACAAATTTTATGGAGGAATTGTAAAAATACGACTCTAACTATGCTCTCTATCCACCTTTTAAAATAGAGAGACCTCTAGGAAATCCTAAATTTAAGGAGACAGAAAGGATTCATAGTGGTTTCCTATAATTTAATGCTGTTTTGTTTTATGCTTATTTTAAACTTTTAATTAATCCCAACTAGTTTTTTATACTATTTTTCAATAGTAATGGAACAATTATATATTTTTTTAAATTACTTTAAAAAAATTATAGTATTTATGACTTCCAGAACTAGATAATATGATTGGAGTTCAAATTTTATAAAGAGCTCCTAAAATAACTTTTGTGTGATTTTAGTTAAATTTTAACCAAAAAATAGAGAGCATGATTGTAAATGCTCTTAGAGCATCCGCAATAGGTTTCTTAAACTATCTCTTTAGACAAATTTTAGAGAGAAATTGAAAAAATACAACTTCGACCATGTTTCCTATCCACCTCCTAAAATAAGGAAATCTTTAGGAGCTCTTAAATCTAAGAAGAGAGAAAAGACTCTTAATGGCTCCCTATAATTTAATGCTCCTTTATTTAATGAGCATTTCAAACCTTTAATTAATGCTAACTATTTTTTATATTATTTTTTTAATAGAGATGGACCAATTAAAAAATAGTTATAGCATTTATGACTCCCTAAACTAGAGAGCATGATTGGAGTTTATATTTTATAGAGAGCTCCTAAATATTTTTTTTTATGTTTTAGCTAAAGTTTAACTAAAAAATAGTAGTATTAGGAATGAAAAGTTGTCTGTTTTACAAAAATACTCTCTCTTTTAAATAAATAAAAAATCATTGAAAGTTATTAATATGAAGAATTTTTGAAGGATCAAAAGTGGTATTTGAAAATAATAACATGGTTAAGTTAGTCCAAAAAAACTTGCATTAAATGTTTTCTCAAGTTGTGGGGGAGAGAGAGTTTCCCAAGGCATGGGTAATTAATGAAGTTATATGGATGTTGTCTTCTAACTTAAAGGATTAACGTGGACTATCCATATGAGATTGATGTCTAAAACTTATTCCTACTAATTCCACTATTTTCAAGGGGACTAGTGGGGATAAGTTTTAGACATCAAACTCTCATGAATAGTCCTACCTAATCCACACTAGGACCAGTGTGGTCCCGAGCCCCCACTCAAGTTTTTTTATATTTTAAAAGTAATATAATGTTATGTATTTCTATATGTATATTATTTCAAATACTTTACGTTTTGATATGTACCCACATGTGTTGTGGCGAATCTATGAAGGCACAAGAAGGTGCTTCAAATTGCCCCTTGGTGGTGCACTCCATGTGTACATATTACCTTAATTCTATTTTCAGTATTTAAGTAAATGTCTTTATCCTTTTACTTTCATTTATTTTTATATTTCTCCATTTACTTAAGTTTGCAATGTAAATAAAGAAGTAACCCCTATTTGGATTCAAATATAAATACTAAAAAATCAAATTCCCACCAAAACAAAATATGAAAAACCGGTTTTAGTGCAAAATATGATTTAGGCTAAAAATGATGGCTTATTAAGTCAATATATACTTCATACTAAAATCTCATAAAATCAAGTTTTCTTATTTGATGTGTAAGAAATAAAAGCTGCCAAAAATTATCTTGAGAAAATAATTATTCCAAACAACCATTTTTCATACTTAGTCAATATTTTTACATAAAATATTTTTCATGTATGATATGAATGCATGAAGAGACCTAAAGTTTTTTATTATTTTATAATTTGTGAAATTTTGATTTTTTCTTTCTATTAGGTTTAATGGGGGCAAAAAGCTTTAAAGATATTTGCTAAATCGCTACTATTTGTCTACCTCTTGCAATTTTTCTTGCTTAGAATGTATTTGTCTATCCCTTTGTCGATGACAATTATGATTACAACCAATAAGCAATATAATTCTTGACATATGTGATATATATATATATATATATATGTGTATATGTATTGTGAGTTCGAATTTTTGATTCTTTATGATTTATAAGATGCCCCCACACACATGAAATCATAGTTTCTCCACTGGTTCCATATGAAATAGTCATTTGGGTAGTCTAATCCTCCATATCAAACGTGTGTTGCACTCTTATTTAAGCTTTTTCAATGAAAATTCCCATATTTTTGTTAAAATGATTAGCTCTCCATCATATAAATTTTCGTACCTCTCTACCAGAAAAAGTTTCGTGTTTCAATTTCCCTTCTTAGAAAACTCAATCATTCAATCCAGCCGAGATCTGAGTAGATATTAACTCAAATGTCATATGGGATTGAAATTTAGGGAAGTTCAACCGACGAACACCAATGATCATAGCATCACAAGCACAACAATGAAAAATAAAATAATGTGCTGTCAGAAATTCCAATTGCTTATTTTATTTTTCCTATCGTAAATATCGGTATCTAGACAGAGAATAGAATGAATGAAATGATATATTATCTTTTCAAGGATTAAAAAAAATATATTAATAAATAATAAAAAAAATGAAATGCTTAATTATGGTAATAATAATGCAACCATGACTTTGTAGTTAGTCCGGTGGGAGAAAATATGATTAAAAAAATGAGGAGGAAGATGCTCACATAATTAGTTCAGCAACTTAGCACATGATCCAATCATTAACTGGTTATTAATTTCGATTTATCTATTTGATAATATGAATAGGAATTTCTATTTGATACGTCTGTGGTAGGCTATGAATTATATATACGTGATGTAGTTGATCGATCGTACTAGTCGTATACGACTTATGCACGACAACAAGGTGTACTTGTGCCGCAAGAAACCAAGGCCCTCCTCTAATCCTCATGCCAAATATCCCATAATTTTAATACTCATCAGCCTGGCAGGAAGGATATATTTAGCCTTTTCTTCTATCTTTTTTTTTCTTTTTTAGTTGAGCAAGAGCAACTTGGGTTGGCACCAACACCAAGTTCATGAAATGAAACCTTGTTCTTGTTGGTGGTGCATGTCAAAGTGTTGGTGGTAGAGATAAGATGTGTGTGTGAAACTGAAAGAATATGGGCATGTGCAGGAGAGAGAGACCTGCGATCGTTGCGTTAATTGCAAAATGGACCAACAGAACAGAAGCAATCATGGAGTTTGACCCTCAAACTCGGAGAAGCCCTGGTCTTGAGGGCGTCTGCCTAGCTATATACATATATATAGTTTAGGGTTTAGGGTTTAGGGTTTTAATTCAATTATATAGAATAGAAGGGACAAATAAAAAATATTGACCAACGTACGGTAGTAAAAACTTAAAACCCCACCAACTACGTACTTACGTATCCCTCTTCTCTTGTCTTGTCTTCTCTTCTCTTCTCTTGGGCCATGATGTTCACGGGCGGCTACTGAAAAAAACAAAAAATGCGTGAACGGTCGTGGTATGTCTAACATTGCTCTTGATTAAAAAAAAATTTAAAAAGAAAAAAGAAAAATAACTGCATTAATATATGAGAAGGGTGCAAAGTGGAAACACATTAATTACATGATATAGTGATTGACTTGATTAATGCTGTTTAATTATGAAAGCTACAAATGGATCGGTAATCGAATAATATCTGAGGTGACCCCTTCCTTCTCCCCTTGCACCACCCCACCACTGACGTACAAACAATGGAGGGTTACAGTACTCTACTTTTGCATGCATTTATTTATTTATGGGGCATATGCTGCATGTGAATGTGATACTCTCCAGTACACGTTTAGGTCCGTACGTATGGCATGTGTGTGAGGAGAGGACCGATCTTATTTTGTAGGCTGTCGGTGAAGAAAATACAAATTAGATGATCACATAATTAATCTGCATATATACAGACTAACTTATTTCTGAATCCAATCAGGACACATGAATGAATGCATCCAATTTTGTTTTCATTCTCTTTTTTGTGCGATGTTCTTATCAGCCGAAGATAGCACCTACTTAAATTTGAGGATTTTCTTATTAGGTGACACGAGAACACAAAAGATCCGTAAGAAACTAAATCAATAGAAATTTTGAAAGATTATAATTTTATTAGCGTCAAAGAGTCTATAGACTCTATATATATAAACAGAAGCTAATTAATTAATTAAGCTTTTCCTTGTGAGGCAATTAAGGGTGAAATTTCTGACATGGCCGCAAATTTAGCGCGCAAATAGATCATCCTGTTTGTGTGATCTGGGCCGCTTTAATCATCATGTTGATGGTGATTATGTGTGCCTAATGGCAATACTGTCTTGCTGACACGTGTTAAGTGGATGAACATGCGGCCGTCACCCTCATCCACTCACAACAATAATGCAATACAAATGACAAAAGAAGTTGTTTTGATGCGAAGTTATTAACCCACAAACAATGGCAAAACTAGCATGTTGTCTTTTGTTTCGAGCCTTCCACGTTGTCCCGGGTCCGGTTGGCTCCCACCATTAACGGCCCCCAAGTTCTCAGAATAATATCACCGGAGTTCAGAATTCGAAAAAATTTATTGAAGCACTTTAATTTGTACCGTTTCTTGAAAGAAAATAAATGACAACATATCCTCCAATAGTGACACATAATGATCAATCATTTTATTTTATTGTTATCTCCTTCATGAGATCTAGAATAGTTAATTCTATCGGACTTTTTACGGGTGGTTCCCACCACCTCATATATACATATGAGACAGAATGAGGTACAAGTTGCAAAAATCATTTCGATCCCTACCATCTTTCTTTCAAATAATATCAAAAGTATAATTGTGTGTCATTTTGATTATTATATTAGAGTTTGACATGTTAATTTCTGTTTTTTTTTCTTCCTTCAAGATAATATGATGAGAAAAGAGAAAACCACCTTCACCGTTTAAATGTTAACGATCAATAACCTAGATTTCCAACAATATTCTTAGTAATGTAGTCAATAAATATGGTACAAATAATATTATATGTTTGGATAAATTTTGCACGAAAATTACTCGATGTTACTCCGACAACACTAGTCTCTTAAACTCATAGCGCAAAAGTTGATTAACAATGGCCCGAATGACATTTGCCTTTTTTATTTCAAATTTCAACCCTGATTTAATTAAAAAATTAGAAAATAAAAAAACCATATCCACATTGTGTTCGGGTGTAGTGTAGTTGAGTAATCAACTACCCGCATTAACGGCCTCCGATTCTAAAGAGGGTTCAGATTTGACCCAAGCCCCGTGGGACCCATTCGCCAGGGAAAATAAGGGAACAGAGGTCACATGGGGAGAACGTGACCCCCCCCTCAACAAAAATAGCCATGTCAGCATATGGACGGATAGTACGGACCCCCCATGTGCCCTAAAACACCCGACGACTCAATCTCTCCCTCTCTTTCTTTCTTAAAGCAAATCACCTTCTTTGCAATTTACAAAGGCTTCTTCGTTCACATATGAATTCTGCTTATCTTAATTTCTGTGGGGGTTTTTTTTTAAATGATAGTTTCTGTGGGTTTAAAACAGAAAAGTTGTTGTGAAAAAGGTCCATCTATGGAATAATATTTATAATAAAAAAACAATAATCCATATACTATAATTAGGGAGAAGAAATTTACAGCAAAAAAGAATAAATATATGAATGAAAGGTGAGGTCTCATTGCCAATTTGCCACATGCAACAAGGCACAAAAGTCAATAGGCCTTTATGAATCCCTTCCATATAAAACATTTTCCCACTTAGAAAGAGAAGAATAGTTCAGATTTAAACTTCTTCACACAAGCCATGTACCAAATTCGCGCTACATCATCATACACGTGAGGAGTGTTGAGATTAGTCTCGTAAATGCTCGTTTAACCCTAATTAACACCTTTCGTACACATACATACGCTGATGCTAGCAAAGTTTGGTTGTATTTTGTAACATGATGTGACGTAAGAGAGTTAGAAACAAATTGAACTGGCAGGCAGTACTTAGAAACAAAACTTGATGACAAGAACAACAAGTGCGTGAATTTGAAAAGAGAGAAGGGAAAGGTAATCCATGCATTTCACCACCACATCATGCCGACAGAAGATTTCATTGAGAAGTGTCGGTGTGCAGTGTACAGTTAGGTAAATAATGCATTTTGTTTTCTTATCATCCTAGGGTTTTAGCTCATGTTATTCATCAAGAATTTTATGCTTATAATTACACTCTCTGATTAAACCTTCTGTTTAGGTTTAATGCAAATTGGCTTGCAAAAATTCTCGAGGGAGAGACAGAGAGAGAGAGAGAGGTTACTTAACGGCCAAACTACTGTGTTGGGACCACCCTAAATCAGAAATCATGGAACTGGTGGACCACAAATATTTATATTGTTCAATATTCAGGCTCTCTTAAACCCTTAAGCCTCTATATAAGCTCACCTTCTCTCTCAACTTCTTCCTCACAAGCATACTCTTCTCTCTCTGCCTACTTTGCTCTGTTCTCTCTCTCTCTCTCTCTCTCTCTGCTTTTGTTTGCAAGCAGAGAAATTAGAAATCATGGCAATGCCACTCTCTCTTCTGCTTCTCTCTCTTCTTCTAATCCCAGCCTTCACTTCCTCTTCCCCAGTTCAAGATCCTGAACTTGTAATACAAGAAGTACAAAAGTAAGATATTTCGAACCGTTATAAAGTTACATTTACATATTTATTTGGGTATAAAGTTACAATGTGTCACATGTGTTTTTGTGTTTTTTGTTGTTGTTTTCAGGAGCATCAATGCATCAAGGAGAAATTTGGGTTATCTCTCATGTGGAACTGGAAACCCCATTGATGACTGCTGGAGATGTGACCCCAACTGGGAGAAGAATCGGCAACGGCTAGCCGATTGCGCAATTGGATTTGGAAAGCATGCCATTGGAGGCAGAGATGGCAAAATTTATGTGGTCACAGACGCAGGGGATCACCCTGTGAACCCTAAACCAGGCACCCTCAGATATGGTGTGATCCAAGATCAGCCACTGTGGATCGTTTTCAAAGGTGACATGGTGATCAAGCTGAAGGAAGAGCTGATGATGAACTCGTTCAAGACCATCGACGGCAGAGGAGCCAGCGTCCACATTGCCGGTGGGCCCTGCATAACCATACAGTATGTGACCAACATTATAATTCATGGACTGAACATTCATGACTGCAAGCAAGGAGGAAATGCCTATGTGAGAGATTCACCTAGCCATTACGGCTGGAGGACTTTGTCTGATGGAGATGGAGTTTCAATTTTTGGTGGAAGCCATGTTTGGGTGGATCATTGCTCTCTGTCGAATTGCCGGGATGGGCTCATCGATGCCATCCATGGATCCACATCCATCACCATCTCCAACAATTACATGACTCACCATAACAAGGTCATGCTCTTGGGCCACAGTGATTCCTACACACAGGACAAGAACATGCAAGTCACCATTGCCTTCAACCATTTTGGAGAAGGGCTTGTTCAGAGGATGCCAAGGTAACTAATTATCAAGCTATTAATTAATTAATCACTTTTCTGCTGACGTGAGTTAGACTAGTTGGCTCAGGAAGTGAGCCCGCATGGAATTAATCACTTTTCTGCTGACGTGGATTAGACCTATTAGCTAGGGAAGTGAGTCCGCTTCCTTGCACCCAAGTTCGAATCCCCATTGGATATTGAAAATAGCAAGGTAATTAACAAGCTAATGATTAATTACTTCTTGTTGCAGATGTAGACATGGGAATTTTCATGTGGTGAATAATGACTATACTCATTGGGAAATGTATGCCATTGGTGGCAGTGCCTCTCCAACCATCAACAGCCAGGGCAATAGGTTTCTGGCACCAAATGATAGATTCAACAAAGAGGTGAGTTTCAATTAATTACTGCAGTATATTAATTATTGCTCAGTAAAATTACTGTTTTGTTAACTTAAAAAAACAAAATGGGATTGGTTTTCAGATCACTAAACATGAAGATGCGCCACAGAAAGAGTGGAGCAAATGGAACTGGAGGTCTTCAGGAGATTTGCTGTTAAATGGAGCTTTCTTCACATCATCTGGGGCTGGAGCTTCTTCTAGTTATGCCAGGGCATCGAGTTTGGGTGCAAGACCATCCTCACTAGTGAGTTCACTTACAGCTGGGGCAGGTTCAATCAAGTGCAGGAAGGGCTCGCGTTGCTGATCATCAATGGGACCCAACATGGCCACAGAGACTAAAGGAGGACAAAAAAAATGGGAAAATGAAAGACTAAATTAAAGAACCAAAAATAAAAGACCAACTGTAATTACAAGCAGCTAGCCTAGGGTTTTTCATTTTCTTGTATATCAGTGTTTCACTTTAACCTTGATGTTCTTTTTTCTTCTTTTTTTCCTCTGAAGATCTCTTGGTGATCATTGTGTGAAAGGAACAAGGCCAAAGTGTTGATATAATTAAATATTAAGTGAAAGCAGAACTTAATCTTTTTTGCATTTGATTTGAGGTCCCAAATGGGGTTTTGCTCACATGGGTTGGTGCAGTGGTTATTGAATTGGATCGAGCTAAATTTGTGAGCAAATAAATGCTTACTTTACTCCATTTATGGGGCCATCTTTATGCAGACCAAAAGTGGATGATTTCTCAACAGGGTATGTACGATTTTGACAGACTTTGCAGAAGCAGACCATCCAGGCCTTGATTTGATCACGTTGCCTCCCTCCATCCAATTCAATTCAACCATCAAAAACAACCCAAGTGCCTGCAATTAATTTTTATGCCCCCCATAAATTTCCAGTTTGCCATAAATTTTGGCCACCAAAGTTCATAATGACCAATGTTATCGACTGTGCCATTCTGAATTGGAAACTGTATGGTCGGCAAGAGATTTCGTTTTTCTTTTCGAAAAGAGATAATGGGCACTTTGCAGATTTTGATTCTGATTCCGAAAACTTTAAATTCCAATTTTTTTTAATTCTATAGTAGCAAGCAACCACATAGAAGATTGGATCTTTTATTATCTTAAGACTAAATAATTCCTATGAAGATAAAACCTCAAGTTTCAAGTTCAACACATGGCATGATTCAGCAGACACTGAGAGCAACATCCACATTGGAAAACTGACAAATCATGAGCAGGATGGGATCTTAGTTTTTCAGGACTGACATTGAGGTAGATCTAGAAAATGTGTGAAACAAAAGGCTTTCTAGCCGGCCTAGTTCTCCTTCATAACTTGCTCTCGTCAAGGAGTAAAATTTCTATGTAACATGTTTCATACTCATTTCTCTATCTCTATCATCACATAATAATCGTGTGATGAAAGAGATAGAGAGAAACGTGTATGAAACATGAATTAGGCCATTTTTTTCTTGTCTCGAAGGGGCAAGGCTCGAGAGGGGTTCATTTTTTTATCAGGAGGTACTGCCAGTACCACACCATCCATTTTGTAAGAAGTAGACCATTCAGGATTCAACCTTGGCAGCCCAACACTTTCAAAACTTGTTCATTTTGATCCCAACAAAGCCATTAACCAAATAGACTTGTTCAGTTTCCTTGCCACTTCACTTGGCCTACCTCACCAATAAAAGCAAACCACAAGACCGTATTCCGTGGCCAGGACATGCAACTTACGTACTAAATTATTACTGCTAGTGGCAACGTCAATGTCATCATGTGTCTCGTCTATTTTCTTGTTCATTTGGGTAGGTACTTGTCGAAGGTCCATATGCTTCATTTGAATTTAGAGAAATAAAACTTAAAAGGAGTCTTTTTTATATAAAAAATATCAGAATGTCCATATGCTTCATTTGAATTTAGAGAAATAAAACTTAAAACAGAGTTTTTCTTAAAATTAAAACGATCAAAATGATCCGATTATTTTTGCCATCAAAATAAAACTTAAAAGTAGACAAATACAGCAATGCATTAAGACCGGATGTCAAATTCATGCAGAAATAAGTTAGCCCAAAATTCCGGCGTAGAACAACAAAAACAGAAATGCATTAAGGCAGAGGAGTGATCATGCTACAACCAGTGAAAACCACTCCAGATTCTACAAACAAGTTTCCTCAAGGAAGAATATAATATGTTCCAAGTCGGTCAAAATACCGAATCAAGCCACAAAAATTACATAAAATTCATTCCCAGGTAAAACAAAGCATAAGCCGCACAGACTATCAGAAATCAGAGGGAGAAATAACATCATCTATTTTCAGTATCATCTTGACAACTTGTGTTGCCAGTAAGATTTGCTGCTGCTTCCCAATTAAAGTCTCAAACACGTTCTGCTCGCGCATATCATTAGTGCCAACATCATTGCAGTCTATTCCGCAGTGGGGATTGTTCTCCTGCATACCAAATTCAAAACGATGACCAATATTAAAATGCTATTATACATGGCTGAAATTACTAGCTTGCAACAGAAAGAGGGAGAGAGTGAAACCACCCAATCAATAATACACTGGCTGGCTATCATGCTTCATTTACCTTAATCTGCTGGGATTTCACTGCAGAAAGCGTTTCAATGGGTTGAAGGCCACTGTTCTCTGCAAGTGCCATGGGGACGGAATCCAAAGCATCTGCAAATGCTCTAATGGCATACTGTGGATGAAAGAAAGATCTGATTATAACAATATACTTAATACTGTTGTAAAAATGCAAAGAGGGGAAAAGCATCTTCATACTTGTTCAACTCCTGGGTATTTATCTGCAGCTGCCTCTACAGCAACAGAGCAAGATATCTCTGCTGAGCCACCACCATAGACAATCGAGTTGTTGCGGATGAGATTCCTAGCAACGCACAGGGCATCATGGATGCTGCGTTTAGTCTCCTCTATCATCATTTTGTTACCTAATGAGTCAAAAAAAAACATCAAAACCTCTTAAAATAACGTTAAATTTTCCTTAAAGAATAACCGTAATCACAGAATAGATAACAAAAAGGCAGACTAGTTGAAAGGTTGCAAAATCTGCTAACCATATATACTATATGTTTCATATTCTGATGCTACCAAAAAGGGTTCATCTATTGACATCATTTTCACTTAATTGAGATGCTCAATAAAGTTGAAGGTAACAAGAACTAGACCAGTAAAGAAACCTACCTCCACGGATGAATATGGTCACAGCCCTTGAATTTGCACAGTGTTCAATGTACAGCATTCGATCTTTTGTTGTGCCAAATGATTTTTCACGAACTATACCGGCCTAATAAAAAGTTAAAAAGAACTTTGAATCAGGGTTTATCAAGTTTTCAAGAATGGAAAGTAAATAGATTAACTGATATCAATCAAGAAAAACTAATACATATGTTCAAAATGATGAATACTTGTTACATGATATTGCTTTTAATAAGCATAAAATAACGAACAATAATATTCTTACAGAAATATACCTTTCCTAGCTTATCGGGTGTCAATTCTTGAAACCTAGGCACAATTCTTCCGCCTACAAAACATAAATACATCATTTTGTTGGTGGACAAAGATGAAAAAATAGTACAAAAGCAACACACTGCTGAAATTATCTACCACATTTCAAGTGCTAAACAGGCTTCTATATAAGGCATACCTGTAGCTATTGCAATTAGTTCCAACTCCACACCACCAACCCATCTGACAGCAGGCAAGTTCCTGTGCATCAATAGGTGATTTGCTTCATCATCAAATCCCCATTGACAGATGACCAAGGTAGCACCCACATCCTGCATATCCGGTGATTATCCGTAAGTAAAACTAGATGGCATAGTAACAACACTGAAGAAAAAGTTGCAACAGCCCTTTTATAGAAAGGAAAAACAGAGAGAGAGAGAGAGAGAGTTCACAAAAGACAACAGAAAAGTATCCTTAGTACCAAAATTATCAAATTGCAGCCATTTTCGACCAAAAAAATCAAATTGCAGCCATTTTTTACCAAAAAACTCAAATTGCAACCACACATTATAGTTTTTTTTTCAATAGCAAAAACATTATGGAACTGCAGAATGAAATCTGACCTTGCATTGTTGGACCATGTCATCAAAGTACTTCTGTTCTTGCAGACGTAGAGTCTGAAACTTTTCCACTGTATCAATATCAACCTTATGTTTTGTCTTCGGCTTCGGTGGCTCAAATGGGCAAGTCAAGATAGCAATTTTTGCATCTTCAATTCTCTTTGGCATTTGTGGATGGCTCATATCCTTGTCAATAAGAATACCATATACCAGCTCAGTATCTTCCAACTTACCCCCTACTTTCCCCTCTACTTTTATCAGATCTAGATTCACATCCTTCCTCTCTAAATCTGCAACAGCAAGAACGGCTTTCACAGCAATCTCAGCAAGGTCGCGCTTGCACCGATTCACACTACATCATGAAATTTTACATTCAAGTCAATAATAAAATGACAAAAGAAGACATATTCATGCAACAATCCATTAAAAAAATAGCAATGGTAAGGGGTGCCAATAACATCATACTATTACAAAAGCCATGAAAAAGCCAATTTACCAACAAGAAACCATGAACTTTAACCAGTGTATACAATAATGCGAACTTTTATGATGAAAAAAACCATCATTTACAAAAGTGGGGAGGTAAACATGCTTTAGTAAATTATGAGTGAACCACAACATGGCATATAAGTGGAAAGAAAACCTAAAAAGTGTGCTTACATCTTGGATGATAAAGTAGTCATGCAAGTTCGAACTAGAGGCTCTATGTTATCCAGCCCAAATTCAAATTTCTGTGATATATGCTGCAAATGATCGAAGGCTATTCTAGATGCCATTTCATATCCCTCTGCAACCCGTATGGGGTGAATACCACGCTCCAATAGCCGCTCAGCGTGCTCTAAAAGTGCACCAGCCAACACAACGACTCCAGTTGTCCCATCACCAATTTCATAGTCCTGACTCTGGGATAGTTCAACCATCAACTTTGCAATTTGATTGTCGACATCCATCTGCTCCAGAATTGTTGCGCCATCATTTGCTGAAAAGACAATGCGAAGGGTAAGGTTATTTCAAAGCCAATGGTAAAACTAAAACCAAGCAGACACCAAAGCATGTATTGCAATTAAGTGTATGCTTCACCCCACATAGCCATGTCCACACAACAGGGCAGGATAGTTATGACCGCGAGGACACAAAAGCGTTAATAACAAGTGGACTGGGATTATCCAACAATCAAAGACAAACCAAAACCAACCCAGAGCTCAGAAAAACATATAAATTTCAAAGCTGAAAATTGCAGAGTAAAATAACCATGACATACTCTAAAAAATGAAGCAGTAGTTTATTCTATAAAATGAACCCCGATAACAATGAACAGACAAGACAAACACATAGATCCACATACTATAAAAAAAAAAGAATCACAAATGGCAAAGCAAACAGGAACAAACTTCATATCGAGTGTGAGTTAGAGCTAGAGAGAGGGAGAGATGAAGTTACTTACTGACGGTGACTTCACCATCGGGACTCTGGAGCATCTTGTCCATGCCCTTGGGTCCGAGAGAGGTCCGGAGGATCCGAGCGACGGCTTTGCCAGCGGAAATGTTGGCTTTCTGAGCATCGAGGCCTCTCAATCGGGTCTTCTGCTCCTGCTCCCTCAGTATTATGAATGGCCGCCCATACTCATCGAATGCGAGCGCCATTTGCACCAACACACTCTCAACTTCACAATCGCAGTTCGCTTCTCTTCTCCTCTACTTCCCACTCTCTGCTTCCTCTTAGGTCTAGGACCTTCTTCTCTCTGTTTAAAGAATTTGCTTTAGGGTTTGGGTTTTGAGATTTTGACTGCTCGAAAGTTGAAGCCTTTGAGTTGAGGAGAGGAGGAAATGTTTTTATTTATGGGCTTCTTCTTTTTCTTGGGCCTAACCTCAAACACCATATGGACTTGGGCCAAAATTGAAATTTGTTGGGCCCAGATAGATTTGTTTGAAAATCCAACCTTCCAGTTGACCAAGGTCAATGGGGGTAAAAAAAACTCTCAAACGTGTTTTTTTTAACTGAAATAACGGAATTTTCAACTGAAATTAGCTTCGCAACAAACTAGTGCCACCGGTGGCTTTGGTAGCGAAACTCCGCAACGCCCTCCACGCCCACCAATATTCTCCTCCCAACCGTGGAAATGGGGTATATATACCCATTTCTCACCCAGCACCATTCAACACCATCGCCGATTTCCATAAGCCTGCAGTGTTTCTCAAACCCAGCAGAGAAAGAGAACCAACAGCTAGCACGCGTGTTAAATTACCATTTTACCCTTTTTTACGTAAACATGGCACGCCAAATTGTTGTTGTTGCTCTTGTTCTGATGGCCACAGTGGGCTTGGCTTTTGGCGCCGAAGCCCCCAGCCCCAGCGCCGGTGCCGCTGCCACCACAACCCCCAAACCCGGTCTCCCAACGTTTAGTGGTGTGCCTGTTTCCGGACCCGTAGCCGCAGCCGACGATAACCAAGTGGGAACCATGGGCGGTGAGAGCGCTGTCGCTCCTTCTCCCAGTGGCAGTGCTTCTAGCGATGGTGTCACCGCCGGCTCTGTTGGTGGACCTGTCTCCGAGTCAACTTTTGGCTCCATTGATGGTGGCAATGCCGAAAGTCCTAAGGCTAGTGCTGCCACCACCGGACAGCTCTCCGCTGGAGCGGTTGTTGCCGCTGGCATCGCCGCCTCCTTCTTCTTCTAAGCTCAATCAGCTCCATGTATGCACGTATGCATAATGCATATCAATAATGCTAGGCACACTACATTTGTTCGAGAAAGAGAAATGATATGTTTGTATTGATGTATCATTAAAGTGTGCCTAGAGTTGAATAAATGAAAAAATTTCCGACAAATATGGTGAGTGTAGAAGTGCTCATAAACCGTTGTGACGGGCACTTGAAAAATTCTTTAGAAGTGTTGTGTAATTGTAATTTTCCTTTGGGATTTGAATTGACTTAAAAAGAAGGCATTATACATAGAAAAGAAAAGAAAAGAATTATGGTTTGCGCTTTGTAGAATGAATCTAAATGCAATTAACTAAAATCTGAAACGTTTTGAACAATTGCAAACAAGAAGAACCTTTCTTAATCCTTCCTATCCTATCCTAGACAAGGGCAACCCAGTTCTACTTCTTCTACCCAATCAAGTCAAATTGAAGCAGAAAAGAAAATTATTCAGAATGGAATATCAGAAAACAAACAACAATAATTCTCGGGGCAGTGGAGGGAGGGGAGCTGTAATAAAAGAGAAACAAAATATGCAGCCAAAGCTACTAGTCTGTCAACATGACACGTGTACACAGAGATTCACAACTCCAATCCAATCCCCCATTAAATACAAACCACAAGCAGGAAAGAAAACCAGGTCAAACAGAAGGACGAGGCACTCATAGTTTCAAATACACACAACAAAGCAATTTGCCAGAGATATGAAGCAGCTTAACAACTACAGTGAATGAAACCAGGTCTCAACTTGAGTAGTGTACTGAGAACCAAAGTTTTGAGCCACCTATTGCTAAAAAAACTAAATCATATACATGTAGCGGCTATTTTCAGTCGAAAGACTACTAATTTGAAATGAAACGCGTCTTTACGCTTTCATTGCAAAGTTATTCCATCAACTGTGAATTCACATCTAGAGTTTTACAACTTCAATTAAATAACCAACTATGAAATTTACAACAAAAATTATAATGGCAAAGCTCAAACAACGGCAGGACTAGATATACTAACTAATAGAGAAACTGAATACAACAACAAAACAGACAGAAGAATAGAATTCAAATACAGCAAAGACAATATGATGGTCATTCCAGCAAAGCACAATCCTTCAAGGCTTCATCAAGCAAGTAGTGCCATCAGGAAGACATGTAAAGCAAGTGGCTTCCATTGGGTGCCTCCTTCAAGAATGATGCAGCTTCTCATACACTAAAGAACATGACTAAACACCAAATCTCCAATATACATTGTCGAGAAACAATACAATTTGACTCAAAATTAAATAAAAGAAGAAGAAATAGACAATTTGATATCCATGAACAAATGTACAAGACTACATCCAAGTGAAAATTGTACATCAGCAGCACAGCATAGGCTTCCATGAAGAGAGAAACAAACCCTAAACAATCGTTTCAGTCCCAGCTAATTTACAGTGCAGCATTGATTTACAACTCACAACCCCTAAACCCAAGTACACCTTGCGGTTACATTATACCCCCAAAAAAAGAAAAAAAAGTAAGATTCTTTACAGGAAGTTGCTTCAACGGAAACTGTGTTGTATAAATCTATGACTAATTACAATTTAGCACAGTGGCTTCCTGTTCCAATGTCGTAATGGATCAATCCCGACTCCCTAGTGCATAGAGCAGACAATGGAAGTTACAACACACTGAATATCTACAACTATGCACATCCAATTCCGAACAAGACTATTACAACAAAAGAGGGCATTACATGTGGACCTAATACAAAAAGCCTACAATTACACAAGGACATTCAGTTCTTTACATGCACACTGACAAGTCTGCACTTAATATTTCACTAGTTGGAGAACACTCTTTCTAGATATTTTGTTGCAGGAGCACTAATACATATTTTTAAGTGGCGCTTCAAGAAAATAAGGTGAAAGTCAAAATAGTCAAAAGCTTCTTTTGCACACTTGGAAACGCATCCATGTAACACATCTTCCATCATGTGACCAGCACAGGCTGATTCAATTATGAAAAGGAGTTGCCCACTCTACTCCCTGGATATGATGATTAAAAGAAAACCCGCATGTCAATAGACATCAAATAAAATAACTTTCCAAGACACCACCTCATAATCTATTGCTGCCACTTAAATAGAACAATAAGAAGCGCAAGAGAAAAAATGAAACATAGCAAACCAACGTTGACAGTCTCTAAGCCATAGTGTAACTAAGTTCCCTATAGGTATGAGACACATCACACAACAATGACATCAAGCCCCTCCCCAAATATTTTGCAGTTTTCAGTCAAAGCTATTCATGCCAACATAACAATCAAAACTTCCAAGAGACAGACAATCAAAGTCCAAACTATATAAACATTATCATTCATTCCAACATACGTATAAATACCAGCATCAGTTAAATGTCAAGGGAAAGGAACAGAAACAATCACTTCTCCTTTTTCTTTTTGGGTGTTACCTCACATCTTTCTTAACCTTTCAGCTAAGATCAAGGATAGGCTCCACTCAAAGATAAAATAAATCAAGAAAAAGAACTTCCACAATCACATAGAACACAAGAAGTTTTCAAACTATAAGTATCACAAACCCAAAAAAGCAATTGTCTTGAAGAAAGATTGGGTAGCATAGTTAACCTGTAAGATAACAGCTGCAGGAAATGAGTAGCCGATTCCCCACAGCTATATCTTTGTTGGTATGCTACTAAAAGTTACTAATTGTTTTTAAGCACACAAATATTAATTATCACAGCTAAATGTTTTGTCGAAAGCAGTATAAAAGCAAGGGGGAAATGATCGTTCCCTCCAATGCTCACTGGTAGAACTTACTTCTCCCTCAAGAAGCCACGTTTGCAGGAAGAATGCAGATTCACCGTAGGTACCCATGGCTAGATATACTAACGGTCAGAACTTATATTCTGCAGTCTCGAAGACATGCTAGAGAAGGTCAGTAGTCTAATTGTGTCACTCAGATGGCAACCGTCTCCTCTTCCCGTAATCAACATCCCTTGATCGAGACCGATGATCATCTTCCGGCATTGCTTTGGACCGGCTCCGAGGTCTTGAAGAAGACTGACCTCTGTCCCAGTCATCCTCATAACCCACATCACGCTCTCTCTGTCGATGGTCTCGGTAACTATCTTTTTCTTCCTTGTACCTATGCTCCCTGTGCTCCCCTCTTTCAGACCTGTCCCAGTCTTGTTCCCTCTCATCACGATGCCTCCTCTCAGAGTTTCCTGACCAGTCACGCTCAGATCCCCGTTCTCTTTCCCTCGAGGGAGCATTTGACCTTCCTCCTTTTTCATGATTTGCCTCTCCATACCCATACTCAGAAGCACCATCATCACCACCATAACTTGACTCCCTAGTTCTTCGACCATGTTCTTCTCCTCCCCACCCACCCATGCTTGGGTCATTCCACATCCCTGCATGATGCCCATCCATTCCAGAAGAACCCATCATTCCCATTCCATTAGTTGCCATTCCCCTGCCAAAGAACGCTGGGTTTACATGAGGAGCCACCCCAGCAAGTCCCATTGTATTAACAGCAGGAAATGAAGAAAGCATTCCAGGAAAAGCAGGACCTGGAAATCCTCCATAACCGCCTCCTCGGCCCATATATGTTGGATCAAATCCAGCACCCATCATACCCTGTGGATTCATCATACCTCCTACAGGACCTCCAAACCCAGGACCTGCAAGGCCCTGTCCATAGCCTCCATTAGCACCGGTTCCAACACCAGCAGGGTTCCCAGCCATGTTCTTTGCTCCCATGGCCCCTCCTCTTCCTCTCATTGGTCCTCCACCTCCAGGACCTCTGTTGGCTACTCCCTGTCCACCTCGTCCCCATCCACCCCTTCCAAAATTCCTCCCTCCGGTGTCTCCAGTTTGATAGTTCACACCTCCCCCCCTCCCAACACCATCATTCATGGGCCTTCTTCCTGGTTGCTGAGACTGAGTCTGGCCTTGGGATTTGCTTAAATAAGAAGCTCCCATCTGCTTCAAAGTCTGCGGAGAAGCAAAAGCCACAACACAAGCTCTCCCATTGAAAAGATAACCATCCATTCCCTCTTTGCATGCAGTGGCAGCAGCTGGATCATGAAACTCAACCTGACAATATCCTTTGGATTTACCACTGGCTCTCTCATCAAAAAACTTAATTTCCTTGACCCTCCCATACTGAGATAAAACACTTTCAAGCTCAGCATCAGTTGTCCACCAATGTAGTTCTCCCACAAACAGCATGGTTGAACCATTTTCAACTGGTGGCCGGACTTGGTTTTCATTAAACATTGGACGATTAGCATTTACCTTGATACTGATTTGATTAGTCGGCATCTGTGTAACTCCTGTAGGACCAGCAGTGCCAGAATTCATAGACGGAACAGACTCGAGAGCAGTTTTCCCAGTAATGTCAGAAGAATCACCACCGATATTTGGGGGCATAGTTGTCGACCCCTGAAACCCCATATGTCTGACTTGAGTATCATGACTCATCTCCATAGCCCTCCCCTTTTGAGATCCAGAAGCTCCACCCACATAACCTGTGGATCCCAGTTCTGGCTCCTTAGCCACTGGTGGCTGATCCTGTTGTTCTGGAAACTGGGCCACAGCACTAGAATACTTCCCTTGAACTGAAACCCCAGGAATTTTTGATTCCTGAGAGACACCAGCTTGAACTCTTGTTTCAGTAACATCAGTTTTCTGTGCTTGGAGACCTCCATTGCCAACACCACCAGGCGGGAGTGGTGCCTCAGACCGGTGCATCTGCAAGAAACCCTCTCCAACATTAACATCATTATAGAGATCATCATACTCATCATCTTCTACCATGGGTTCTTCATCTGCAAGCGCAGAGATGGCTCCACTTCCCTGATACTGAAGCTTCTGAGCCCCTCCATATTCCTCATCTTCATAATCTATTTGCTCTTCAACCATTGGATCCATTTAGAACAACCAATCTATATCCAAATGAAGTTGAACAATCTCTATCTCTACCTACATGATTACAGAAGCAAGAAACAGAACCGTTCTTAGACCCAATACAGATTTGAATACATACATAACTTAAGCACAGAGAGTAAGAAACAGAACCGTTCTTAGACCCAAAACAGATTTGAATACAATAATAACTTAAGCACAGAGAGTAAGAAAGAGGACCCCAAGATCCAAATAGTTGTATCACAGACATACAGCCTGAAAAGGAGGTATGAAGTATGAAACTATGAGGATACTAGAAAGAGAAGTAGAAAGCTGTGATGCTTGCTGAAAAGGGAATTAAAAAGAGATGTTTTAGCAACCAATCAATCAAACACAAAACAGTATAATTTCTACCATCAACCATGAGAAATCAATAACATCATCAACAGAAAACAACAGCAGCAACAAAATGTCCACCATCCACCCAGCACAGTCGTAGAAATCATAACGAATAAATTACCCTTGTCATAAAATTGCTAAGAAAATATAAATCAAATTCAAAACCCACTTTGGAAATCATAGATTCCATAACCGAACTTGGTAAATTAGACATCCCAATCATAAATAACAATCAGAGAAAATAAAACCAAACCCCACTCGATAAAATCGCAGGAAGGAAAAGAAATTCCAGATAACCAAGCCCCACAATAAGGAAAAACAGGTAAGTAGACAACACCCACTTGGCAAAAATCACAGAAAAAACAGAAAACTCAAACACCCACCCGAGATTTTAACCTCAAAGCAACACAGGAAAAAAGAAGTACCAAATCTATAGCTTAAATGTTTAATAAAGTAATCGAGAGACAATGCACAAAAGAAAAAATATATGAAAAGAATCATGGGATGAGATTCGAACATAGATTGCAGAGGTTGTCTTACTATCGTGTGCTTTGTCTTGTGGTCTCTTAGCTACCACAGCGTCCCCTTTCTCATCAAATATTAAGTATCAACTACGGCTATTCTTTTCCTTCTTCCTCCTTCTGTTTTTGGATTTTTCTTTTTCAATTATTTTCTACGCGATTTCTACAGTGAAAACAAAACACCCATTCGGATCAAGTCTAAGCTCTCTCTCTCTCTCTCCTCTTGGTGGTCTGTAAATTCTAAATTGCAAATTGTAAATACGCGATAATCTTGTTATTATTTCTTTACAACAGTAAAAGGGTAAGATTTGAGGCGCTCTAAAACAAAATTGATTGACCCTCTCCTTTTTTAATAGTCAAACTTCATTCTTTTTGAAATGATAAAACGATGTGCTCTGCTCTCCACCACACAAATCGCGTTATCAAAAACCGAGTGCTACTCTCATGACTGATGCCTTAAAATATAACAAATAAATAAATAACAAGTGCTGATATTTTAATCCCTTCTATTTTTCAATTCACTTTATTTTCAAAATCTATATATATAAAGTAAAATATAGAAAATGGTGAAACACTCAAAATACCATAAAATGTCCTTAGTTAATCCAAACTTTAAGAATTAAAATTATTAATTAAATGAGAATAATAGTAAATTCACACTTTTCATATTTAAAAAAATTAAAAGAAAAAGAAAAATCAGATAATGAATCTTATTTTTATAGAACACAATTAACCATTATTTTTTTAAAATTCTAAAATAAATTTAAAGTTTTTTTTTAAAAAAACATCTCGGCGACATGAAAGCGCGTGCGAATAAGCTAGTTTTAAATTAAATTTATTAATCCGTTCTATTTTTCAATCCACTTTATTTTGGCAGCCATCTCCCCCGCTTCCCCAAGCACCCGCCTCTGTATTGTACCCCCTCGCCTCTCTCTGTGGGTTATTAAATAATAGCCTTGGCACTCTATTTAATTCAGATATTATCCATAAGGGATTTACACCACCACCAACGGAGGAAAACCCACAAATGATTCAAGAATCAAACACGTTTTTGGGATCGCAAAGTTAATCCAGCGCTCGAGCGAGATGAGCCTTTGCCTCCTATTGTTATCATTCAGAGCTCCTTTGTTGCTAACTTGCTACAATACCCCATTAATTTCACCAGATGCATGTGTCTTGTCCTCCCAAGTGGCTCCTTGGGGTTTTTCATTTTTATTATAAATCTTTTTATTATTTTTAATTAGTTTAATCAATTTAAGTTTAAGAAGGTGGGTATCAAGTATGCCATGTCATTATTTAATACTAAATTATAATTAAAGGGTATTTCAGGAATAACGGTGAGTGAAAATATAGGATTGTGTTGTGTTTTTTTCAATTTTAATGATGGGTGGAAAATAAGTCAATGGGTGAAAATAAGAGCACTAATAAATAATTTCTATCGCTTTTGCTGGGCGACTCCTTGCATCCAAATTCGATTTCCCTTTCCGTGTACATTAGGGAAAGAGTAATTAGGCCTAGTAAAAGAAAATGTCTTTTGCTGGGCTGAGCCAGTTTTAAGGCCCCAGGAACAGCCTGATGACAAATTCATGGGAACAGTCCAATACAAACAAAAGGTACAAATGTGTTATTTTTGCTTGCTTAAATTCAACCAATGTCCACTTGTATGAATACAAAATTGACGGGACGTAATTATAGGTTTGCTGTATAAGGATTTTGACGTGCCCTATTCTTTTATTTTTTCCTTGTTGGATTGTGGACAAAGATGTTCAGATAATTTCAAGACAATGTAATTGACATTTTATTTGTAATAGCAGATTAGCGATTTAAACTAATAATTGTATTAAACAAAATGAATTTATACACACAATTTGTGACAAATTTCTTGAAATTTAAAAAAGTCAAATTAGAAATTATTGTACTACAACAATCCAATTCAAAAGAATAGGCCTACCTGAAGTGTACTACGGTGTAATTATCAGTCGAGGGAAAAAAATGAAAGGGTAATAAAAATCTTGAGCAAACTCTATTCTAAGCTGAACACCAAAACTGCAATTCAGCCAGGTTCATGTCTTCTTGCCCAAATCACGATTCTCATGTCATCTCATCTGATCCTTCAGGGCCACTTGCCACTTGCCACTTGCCACTTGGACATGCAACACCGCAGAGACTATTTCCTATTGGTTTCTAAGAGACCTATTGCCCCCTAAATGAAATTATCATTACAAAAAAAACCCCACATCCCTTACAAAATGAAGATTAACTGAGTAATTATATTACAAACCGCCTCTAGCAGCACATGCATACAGATGACACCAGGAAAATATCAGGAAATGCATTACTGAGCATGTAAGAGACATATTTTTTATCAGGAATTGCCGGCAAGTGATCCGGCCAAAATTGATGTTTTCATCAATACATACCCTTGAAAACAGGATTTGTTCTGCATATGCTCGCACCATATTCCTCATACTCTTCTTTTGTATGGCAAGCCTGTACAGAAAGAAACTCCTCAATCAACAGTAAAAATTTGGAAAGAGAACAATGATAAAAACTTGGGGCAGTTTTATATTAGCAAAAAACAAGGTGAAAGTTCAGCATCAAATGCTGTGCCTGCAGAAATATCAAACACTCGCATATGCATGGTTTCAGAGAGGAGATGGTCTCCTCAACCATGATCAATTAAGTTCCCCTTGATGCCATTCAATTGCTGAATAAAATGGCTCAAGTTATCATAACAAAAGGCACTAGAGCCCCTAGAGCCCCTAGTTCTGAAATTAGTGTGGCTTTTTGGAACTCCTCCTGAAGCAACCACCAAATATAGCATACCATTTCCACACAAAAATTAGACCAATCTCTTTTCTGATTCCAAGTGTCAAATTATATGGACTTCCGCATCGTGCAAATATAATAAGATAATAATTGTTTTTATCTCCGTTTTAACTGGCAGAACTCATTATCAGTAACGAGTGAACCAATAAAATTATATATTCAATTAGCAAGATATTGTCAAAATCCCAATCTGTAAAACACTGATCTAAGGGTTTCAAGCCCCACAGCAACATGAAGATTATTTGAGGGTTTCAGGATGTAGGGAGAAAGTTACAGACGAATAATGAGATTGTCTGCCTACATTAACAGAAATTCTTTATTTTTCTTTTTCATACCGCATAGAATTCAGGTGTGGATGCAAGTACAGAGCCTCCAAACCAAACTGCAAATCTCTGGATGGGATGACTAACGACATTTACTTCCACTGGCTGTGACTGCATGCCCAAACAAAAATAAAAATCAAACATATTTATTGTAAAAAAAAGCACATGCTGACTAGTTTATTGATAAATTATACATTGCACAACATCTGAAATAAAATTGCTTACTTTTAATTCCCCACCAACTCGAGCTTCAGATGCAAGAAGCCGGGCATCGACAATCTTCTTTATATCCCGTTGCAACCTCCTGTGGAAGTCCTTGAACATGGTTGAACCTCCAGACAACACTATATTCTGAGAATTACAGTAACAGTAACAATAACAAGACTAATCAATAAGTTGTATAAAGAAATCTTAAATGTAAGAACGAAGATCACTAAATGCATCAGGTCATAATACCATAATCTTTGGCAAAATTCACATAAGATAAAAATAAAATAAAAAACTTGCATGTGATTGTCTGGACCTTAGAACTAAAAACATTTCAAACACCAGATTATGAACATAGGAAGAAATAAATGCTAAAGTTTAAATAAGAAAACAAATCAGAATCAAATGATTATGCAGTCAAATGAAGTTGCAAAAAACAATATTTAGATAGAAGGGCATAACTTAAGTTAACAAAATTCAACCTATGTCCAAAGACCATTCACTTCAGTAATGGTTCCTGAACCCATTACAAGGCTAAGTCACCACATTTGAGCCACACACAATATTACTTCTTATTGCTTCAATTAAATTATCTCATCTATGAACAATTTCCAAAGCCTACTTCACCTTATACAAAGACCTCCTAGTGTCAATTGGCGCGGATTGAATACACTTGTCAATTACAGCTGGTAAGGGAGTGGTGAAGTCATTGCTATAAATCTCAGGATTAAAGAAAACCTGTTATAATATAAAAAATTCGAGACAAATTAGCAGAGCAAATGTTAGTAACAAGCAATCATTGAGAAGAAATTCAGGAGCAATTTCCCTTCTTATCTTGCCAAAAAAAAAAAATCCTTGGGGGAGGAAGAAGAAAGCAAACCTCTGGACCAAGAAATCGTTCATAGCCAATGTCACAAGAGTAAGGTGCGCCTGTCTTTGGTTTAATGCCTCTCCATTGCTTAATATACTTGGATGGTTCTTTATCGTGCTTATTGAACTCCTGCAATCATCGGAAAAACATATTTTCTCATCAATCCATTTCCAAATTGAAAAATAGATTAACGAAAATAGACCAAGTGTAACATAAGAAGTTGTGAAGTTGCAATAAAATCAGTCAAGCTCATTACAGCAGGTATAAAGAAAAACTACACCCATTTGTAACAAGGTCTTGAAAAAAAAAGGATGAAAAGTGACCTTGACAATGTCAGAACTAGTATAGCAATACATTTCCTTCACTTTGCGAGCTACATCAAAGGAGTCTTCTGGTGGCACATTCTCTCCTCTTTCCTGCACATAATGCAATAATCATTACTACCTAAACACTTCATTTGTAAATCTTAGTTACAGTACTCTTAACTAGCCATATAGTGTAATTGCATTAAGAACGAATTTTTGTGAAAGTTCATATACCCCATCTTGTATGGTTTCCAACTAACAACCATATGTCAACAAAGGTAATAAGAATGCAACTGACAATAAGCTGCTGGACGCATACCCACATAAGTAGTAGTAAGAGTAGAAGATAGCATACCCGCATAAGCTGCTGGACGAAGAGAGTTACATCTTTCCCGGCAATAGGAACTGACTTGATGCTGCTCCCAATAACATAACCTTCTGCAACAGGTACAACATGAGTTGCTCCATCTCCAACATCTACCACAACCCCTGTCATCTCACACTAAGAAAATTGTAGGTCAATCAACGAGGAAACGATCAAGAGATACCAAAACAATAAAATAATAATAACACACATAAACTAGCACTTCACATAACATACAGGCAACAGATAAAGTAATTTACAATTTAATGAATAGCATAGAACTCGATGAACTTCCTAACACACTTTAACATGATAAACACACACGTAATCTATAACACACAAAAAAATTCAATACCAACCTTAGACGTTGTGTAACCAGCTGCAAGAGCAAGTACCGAATTCACGGCAATGTAAAGGCCAGGAACATTGAAAGTCTCGAACATAATTTCGCCCGTATACTCGCGACTCTCAGGGGCAGTAAGCGGACTCTCAGTTAAAAGAAAATAGTGGTCTTCAGGATCACAACGCAAATAGTTGAATATGCATTGCTGCCAAAACCGCTCCATTGAATCCCAATTCTCGACCTGACCCTGGCGAACGGGATAGCTCAGATTGTAAGTTGTACTAGATCGAGACCTTTCCAGGGCCTCATCCCCTATAAAGAAATCAAGATCAGCCATTACGCCAGCATTGTGCTGCGCTAGCCAACCAGCCTTGGAGGAGGTTCTGGCCGGGTTCAGAAACGATTCGTTTAAGGCAACTACAGTCGGAACAATGTAACACGGCTCGACATTACCCGCGAACCCCATCTTAGTATACCTACAAAAATGGATGGAAATGCACATATTGAATAAAATTCCTTTTTGGGTAATTCTGACAAACAGGTGGTGCGTAATGCGTGCAAATCAAAATTCAATAGAACAACACAAACAAAGTCAATTGGGGCATTCCATCGAACAGGTTGTGTGCGTAAATACGTACCCACTGCCATTGTCGATAACTACAGCGGGGCGAGCAGCCGGGTCCATGAGAAAAAGATTGAAAACGGGCTTGGATTTGATTTGAATGACGGAGGTGGATCTGCAGCTGAGATCCAATAGAAGGCGTAAGGGAAATGATCATGGTCGTGAAGAGCGCTTTGTAGAGCGCAAGAACAGATAACCCGAAGAGGAAGCTGGTGTTGTTGACGTTGTTGATGGCGACGCAGACTTGGATCGGAAGTGAAAGCAGCGACTCAACGCACAGCTTGGTAGCTTGCAGCAGTTGGTGACTGTGATTGATGCTCCACCCATTTCAACGACGACAATGGAAACTGAATTCAACGCCAGCTCTCATCAGCTGCATCATCATTGCTCTGTTTCTCTGCGTTTTTCTCCGATTCGATGCTTTTATTGGCAATCAAACAACGGCGCACCGACTGTGACCCCCCTTGCTTTCTCTTTTATCTATCTCCCTTCTCTTTTTGGCTAGTTACCTTTTGTCGTTTGGGTTTCTTTTGATATGACGTCGGTTTCTTACCGTTAGATTTGGACACCTGGCAACGGTCAGATTTTGGCTCTGGCGGGAGTCATTATGGGACCCGCGGAATATATATAGCGAAATGGTCCGTCGGTGGTTGTAACTTGTGCACTTGTACTATAAACTTTCTCGGTATTGACGATCTTGATTCTTGGTCGAGTTCAAACTAAGTTATGTAAAAAGTCACGGCATAATTCGATATATTAAATTATTCTAATATATGTGAAGGGAAATTTAATTCAATATCGCTATTTTAAACTACTATAATGCATGGGATGAGAGATTGAACTCTAGTGCAAAGAAATGAGCATACTGTCTTAATCAACTAACCTAACTTACATTTGATTTCGCAAACATTTTTTGAACTTTGAGAAAGTATCAAGTTAAATTGTCCCTTTTTTTCAACATTGATCATCATCGCTTTTGTGGCCCATACACCAATATACTTTACATCTTGAGTAGCTACAAAAATAAAAGATGAGGCCTCGTTTGATGGAATTGAATATGGGGATCTTAATATTTGATTGTTATGGTGGCAAAGGGCGCAATACATCCCTGCAAGACGACGACTATACATCATAATTATTATTTTATTTTCACTGCTTTTCTTCGTCCTAGGTTTTCACCTCTCGCATCATTACAACTTATAAGTAAATTTTGTGGACAAAAGCTGCTCGAAAGCGAGGACACAGTCCACTACAACATAACCAATAATAAAAAATAAAAATAAAAATTGCAAAGGCCCAAACCAAACTCTCCATCGCTACCGTTGAAATTCGGCCCCTTATTTCTCTGTCTAACAACACACAAACTGCATGTTTGAGCTCCAATCGTGCCTTATGAAAATCATTACCTATGTTCTCAGTGGGTCCCACCCAACTATTCAATCAAATCAAACTAAGTGTATTTACCGTTTAAACTTTAGTTATAAAATAAAAAAGCATGCAAATTGTGCTTAATTTGATCTGCACTTACGCGTCTTGCCTATAAATACTTTCTTCGTTATAAATCTATGGAATGTGGATAACCACCATAACATTTATTACCTCCACTTCTTATTACTTTGCAACCATGCCCTTATTATTGTAATTAGTAACTATAAATTGTGGGTTAAATATCTCTATTGTAAGCCTATAAATAGGCGCTTATCAAAGATGAATAAGATAAGTTGATACAAGTTCATAGAACAAATTCCTTGTCTTTCTCTTCCTCTTTGCTCTCTACAATTCCCCCTAATCTTATAACACGTTATCAGCACGACATTGCTCTTGGTATGTTTTCTTTCTCTAATTTTTCATTCTTTTTATATGAGCTAGAGTCATCACATGGTATAAAGTTTCTTTGTACTCACTATCAGACTTCATCATGTTTGTTTAAGAAAACAAAAATTTCTTATTCTTATTACACATGAATATAATGTTATATTTTATTTACTTGTTTATTTATTTAATTTTAAGTATTATCTTAATTAATTACAGTTTTGTTATGATGAGTTTGTATTATACAAAAGATCAAGGCCCGAAGTTACTCAATCCTCATTATCTAACTAGATTAAGACATGGAGTTTTTTTTTATTGAATCAAAACCTCAAGTTCTTTGATTCCAAATAATTGAGCACGTGAAGTTCCGGTAATTTAAAAAGCACATAAAGACATGAAACTACTCGATTTTGTATTAATCAAAATCAGAATTCCATGAGGTCCACATATATCAAGAACCCGAACCAAAAGTTTCGAGTGCATATATATTGATTTGAATATGAAGTTCAATGCACAACTATTAAATCAATTTATTTAGATCTATGTATTCGAACCTAAAGTTTCGAATATATGTTGATATGAACCTAAAGTTCATAGTTTTTCATGGATCTTAATACTATATATGAATTTGAAGTTCATTACTTATTTGTGCCTATATGAACCTGAATTAGGTGGAAATCTCATTCTTAAACTACATATTAAATCCACATTAATATTGGATTATCTTGGAATTTCATAGTCTTTAATTTATTTATTTTATTCCTCGTTCATACCACTTTACTCATTTTATTTTATTTTATTTATATTGGGATATTAGTTAATTTCGTTTTACAATGGTAATGTTTTGTATTACCGCCCAAATATTGACAGCCATAGGCGTCTATTGGAGAACTTCTTACTTTCTTTAATGAGTAGGAAGTTTATGATATCATGAACCAGAAGTTTATGAGGCCCCAATATTACACAACTATTAAAGTAGTTGAAGATTATGATATTATGAACCAGAAGTTCATTAACCGACACTGTCTTGACAATCCATGTTCCACAATAATACATAAGATTTTTATAAATTTGTAAGGACGTCGTTTAAAGACTCAAACTATTGTCTTATCTAACAAGTATCATTGTAAAGCATGCTCACAAATAAAAGTTGTCATAAGATCATTTCGGTCAAAAATTGACTTTGAGTCATCTTTCCTTAAATAATTCAAGGGGATATTTGTGAGCCTATACAACATTTAATTATGGATCACTTCACCAATTTTACTGAATGTGCCTACTAAAATGGTCACATATTTGTCTCTGGTCAAGAAGCTTTACAAGCACAACTCCCATATTATCCAATCTAGTCAATTTGACTTAATAATGATGGTGAGTTTATTTTCCTAAATTATGAGACAATTTTTCCCGTTGTTAGGGGGAAAAATAACTGTTGAGGCCCAAAAAATCCATGGTTGGGCCCGAATAAATTTCTAGCCCAAGACGATATATTATTGGAAAAAGATCCGATTTGGAGCACATGAAAGTATGACATACACGAGTCATACTCCGCACGCCATGCTAAATAAAAAATCCGTCGAGCTAGGAATTAAGATTAAAATTATAAAATGCATTTAGCTCTGCAAATCCATGCCAATTATCCTATCAAGCGCCATATTTAAAAGCATGCCATGCCAAGCGGGAAATTATTATTTCACACCCAATCGCACTACAAGTTTAAGTGGGCCCAAGCCACTCAAATGCCCGGGGCTTGCTTGAGTGGGTTGTGGTATGGATGGTAACGAATTGTCATGGGGCCCATTGATGGGCCGAGAAATGGAAGTCTCGGGTCGCTTGGGGGCCTCGGGACTCAAGCCTATTTTCTTAGGCTCAAACGTGGGTAAGCACAAGAGAGGAAATAGCCCAATTGCTTCAACTAGAGTAGCCCAACCAAAATAACTCATTACTTTAGATAGACCATAAAGCCCAAATACTTGGTGAATTTAACCAACTTATTAGATGACTTGGCCTTCTATATTAAAGGGCCCATACCATTTGAATAAAAGGAGTCCAAGGCCTTCAGCACTTGGCTGAAGCAGAAGTCCACGAAGAAAGCCAAAGATTCACATGTGAGGGGCTGCTGGGAGAACAAGTTCCAAGTGCAAGCATTCAAGAAACCAAGGGGTATTAGCACGCAGGGGAAGATGTTATCCCTTAAACCAGCAGGCGCACCCATTTTCTTTCCTTTATCAGATTTGGCCATGAAAGGAGGAGGAAAGGAGAGAAAGAAGATGGGTGAAAACGGAAGCTCTCCTCTGAAGCCGCTGCCGGAAGAAGCCTCGAGCTCCAAAAAATCTCTGATTTTGTGGGATTGGACAGAACTAATTTTTGCCTCCATGAGATAAGTCAAGAAAGAGGAGAAGAAAGGAAGAGGAAAGCTTAGCTAGATTAGAAAGAAACCATTAGGGTTTCTTGGAGAAGACCCATTCCCAGCAGCTATAAATAAGACCCCTTCTACCCAACACAACACAACCCACAACCTTCAGAGAGCAAGCTTTCTCTCTCACATGCAAACCCAGGAATTTTCGTGCTATCCTTCCTCATTTTCCTTTATTTCCCCTGTTTTGGCATATTGATAGAAGCTTTGACAGAGTCACTGTCAAGCTGCCGGAAACTGCGAAAGTCACCAAAAACTCTTCACCATCCTTCTCCCTCTTCATCAAACCTCCTTAGAACCTCTCTCCCTCTCCATTAGAACCTCTGTACCTCATAGGATCCCACATCTCTCTCTCCTAAAGTGCTAAACCCATGATAATTTTTGCTCCCATGCCATAAGTCACTCATGCCAAGCTAGAATATTTATCTGTAATTTGTTGTCATTTTCATTGGTGAAGGTAACCAAGGAGTTTCCTAAGGCATCATCACCCTTTCGAGACATCCTTGGGGCTTGATCTTCGAACTCAGACACAAGGGGACACTTGCATCATATTGCTCTTTACAGCATCCCAGCCCACTTGCTACCGGAAGAAAAAAAGCCCCTACAATAACAGTTCCTTAAGAACGTCATGAAATAGTGTTGAATCAATCCACTTTTGTCTCATCAAGATAATACATATATAAAGGTATGAATATGCAAGCATGGATTTGATATTCATGTATCACAATCCATTAATATGACAATAAGTGACTATATATAATACATGCCTGGAGCATGATATAAATGTAGGTTCTAAACACTTCACTCCCCAAAAGTAAAGATTATTTGAAAAATTCAAGCCCTATTAAAAATAACGCTCTATAGGAGGTTATGATCCACATTTTCTAAATAATCATCTTGAAAGAGTTGTTTGTCCCATAAGTGACAACATAAGCCTCTGAAGAGGCGTTGATACCCCAAATCAATGAGATGTTTATAAATTATGCATGCACATGCACATGAGAATTGTGGGATCACAAATCGATGATTGTTGATTCGATTCTTAACAACTAAAATGAGTTATTAAAAACAACAATTTTAATTCTCGCAAGTGCATGAACCGTTTATAGTATAGCTTATGTAAATACGAGGTCGATCCCACGGAGAATAGTAACTTGGTTCCAAGTTAAATTACTGAGAATGCTAGAAAAACATATAACAAAGAAACTAACTGACTAGTTAAGGCAATGTCGAATTCAACAATGCCTCTTGCTAATTACTCACGGTCTAGGACAAAATCCTAGCACCACACACGCACTCGAAATGGGGGGTTTTATTGTTGAAATGAAAAGAAGAAAGTGAAATGAAAGTGCTCGAAAGTAAACACTAGACAGATTGTGAAACAATAATTGAGAGGTGTTAGAGCCTTGGAATCTACCATTAGTTTTCCTATCCAAGTTATGAATGCATAGAAATTGACTCAAGCTTCATCAACAATAGATTATCGCATACAAGCATATGGTATCTAGGTGCATGATGCATGATTCTCCTAAGGCATGTAATTGTGCATGGTATCTACACTACACGTGATCTCTAATATGCAATCTAAGCATGGTATCTACTTAGAATAAAGCATACAAGAGTCATTAAACTCCTTGAGAATATGATAATCACAAAAGTCCTAGAACATGGTATCTGTCCTAGTCAACCTATGGTTATTAACCTCTTGAATGATTCTTAGGCCATTCATGTGTTGCTTGTGAAAGGAGAGTAGAATTGGTGAATGTAAACCCCTTCCCAACCTATGCTAGATGCATAAAATCATAGTTAGCTACTCTAAGAAAACATACATCAAACACATAATAAACTGGAGATTAACAACTTGATAATGAAAGCAAGAAAATCAATTAACTATAAAATCATCCATAACATTGAATATACATGACTAGGGCTTCATTCTAAGCCCTAACCAAATGGATTAGTTAGACATAAATATGAATACAGAAAATAAGAAATACATAGATAGAATAAAGAGAAGAAAAGAACTAGCTGACAACAATGTAATTCCCAGGACAACTCCAAGCTCTCTTCCCTCTTTGTGGTGAATCTGAATGTGTGTATGAGAGTAATGGATGAAGTGAAAATGTGTATCTGACCCTCCTCGAATGAGTGTGCAGCTTTCTATTTATATAGTGCAATTTCGTCCTCCCCTTTGGCTAGTGAAGCACACCTCTCTTAGCTGCTCCCAATTGCTTTAGCTGCCTATACATGCCAACTGCTCCAACTGCCTATACATGCCAACTGCTCCAGCTGCCTGGAAAGCTTGACTTTTGTTCATCATTTTGAGTTCCTGAGCTGATTTGACTCCCATATGTGGATGTAGCATATGGCTCTAGGGATGTAGCCACATTAAATGTGATGGCAGCCAACATGACATTTCTGTGAACTTGGTTCAGTCTTTGACGTGCTGAGGGCTCCAGATTTATCCAATTGGGCTGAAATTTTGATATGTTATAATAGACACCAATTGGAACAACTTCTATCAAGGATGTCTTCTCATCCAACCTGTGTAAGTTGCTGAAATGAGGCATGCAAGATGACCTACGAAACTGAACTGAGGAGTGTAGCCCAAATTGGGTTTGTCTTTAAGCTCATATTCCTCTTATCCCAATCAGCCTTTAACAAGCATGGATTGCATCAAATGTGATATCTTGCTGTCTTAACCCACAAAACACACAAACATAGGTAAGAGACTCAAAATAAAGAGAAGCTAAACAAAATTACTAAGCAAAGAAGGCATGCAAATGTGTGAAATTATGACCTTATCAATGATATATTTGGTTTATTAGTAGCTACTACAATCATCAAGGGCTATGATTATATTAAATAACGTTTCATGAATGTCGACAAGTTAAGTGATTGACCAAACTGGAAATAGGCAATTCCATTTATCACTTGTTTATACCAAAATGAACACCCAATGAATATCAAACACGTGGACCAAACCAGGGCTACGTGTGCCTTCGGCACTCGCCTTCGGTACCATACCTACCGATGGCAACATTAGGGCAATCTCTCCTCTCCGACACGTGGCAGCCCCACAACTGACGCCCAGAGTCCCACATCGAAACTCTAAGCAAATTGCACACCTCCCAAGGCCTATAAAAGAGGACATCCATCCCAGCTTGAAGGTAATCAATCAGAACTTACGGCATACTGCCTATTGATCTGCAGTTAAAACTTACTAAATCCGTACTTACTTAAGCATCGGAGAGCCTTCGGCCGGTACCACACCGGTGCCCTAGGATTTACCGTGTGTTTGCTATCTTACAGATCACACACCCTACCGAGGACATCAGATACCGAAGAGACTTAATCACTAAGTTGCGCGGGAAAGTGCCGAACTATTTTTCTGCGTCAACAGTTTGGCGCCGTCTGTGGGAAATCGATATAATCAACCTACAATTCCTAAACAAAACAAATGGGAACCACTTCAGGACCACAGTTCCTATCAGAGGATGGATTACCGTACGGTATGCCAAGTGGAGCAAGCCCCGCGCTGCACCCTAGCACTCCCTTCGGTAATCCACCTGCGCTTCAGACCACGGTCGAAGCGGAGCTTCTGGCTCAGATGACCTCCCTCCGAAAGGAGATGGCAAAACTCCAAGAACGTAACAATCTTCTTTCGTCCAAAGTAGACGAAACCCAACGGTTGCTTAACCAACAAGAAACGCAAAACGCTCGGACCACCGAATCTTCCCAAAGTCAGCAGACCCCCGGTCGGCAGAGGAAGGGAAAGCAGGGGGCAAAGGCAACGCTTGCGCCTTCCAAGCAACTGGTCGTCCCAGCACCCCAGGACCAACCGCACGTACCGAAGAAGGTATACACCGATTGTCGTCATCGGATCAACGACAAGAAGGATGCCGAACGGCATAGGTCCCCAATCAGACTAAACGCCAACTTGAGGGACTCCCGGATGAGGGTCTTGGGGGATAAATCGCCCCTTCGGAGGGCTCAGGGTTTGGATTCGGCGCAGGAATCCGACGATGAGTACATCCCTACCAGGGACACCGAATCGAGCTACCGTTCGGAAGCTCCCCCGGAGTATTCGAAGGCGAGATCACCAAGTCCAAGGAAAGCTTCCGAAGACTTTGGTTCCGAGGACGTTCCCAGCCGAGACCCCACCATCCGATTACTTTTCCAAAGAATCCAGAAGATGGAGGAAGACCGAACCCGATCCCAGGTCCCTGATTGGGGAAAACTTCGACCCGGGCCGTTTACCGAGCGCATCAAGAGGTCCAGACCGGACAGGGAGGTGCAGCCGCTGCGCATACCCTTCTATACCGGTGTGGAGGACCCTCTGACGCACCTCCACTCCTTCCAATCGGCAGTTGGGTGCAAGGGCCTCAGCGACGAGGGACAATGTCTGCTGTTTCCCTCATCCCTTACCGGAGCTGCCCTGAACTGGTTCTACCGTCTCGAGCCAGGGACGGTACACTCCTTTGACGAACTAAAGCAGATTTTCCTCAACCACTTCATGATCCAGACGGACCGTTTGTACTCTGCTGACGATCTGTACACGATTCGGCAAAGGGAAGACGAGCCCCTACGGGAATACGCCGCGCGCTTCAGTCACGAGTACTCGAGCTGTCCCGAAACGGACGATAGGGCAGCCTACGGCGCCTTCAAGAGTGGCCTACGGTCCTCTCACTTCCGGTACCTCGTGCACAGTAGCAACTGGCGCACGTATGACGAACTAATGAAGCAGGCGGCAGTCCATGCGAAGGCCGAATACTTCAACTCCAAACCCGGGCCTTCGGCTCGGAAGGAGGAATCGACGGCCAAAAGTTATCCAGGCCGAACCGACGAACCGTCGGCAGGACACAAACGGAAGGACGACCGGGATAACCGTCAGGGAAACTCAAAGAAAGGACGTGGGAAGTACGGTCGTAACGACCACCGGGCACCCCTACCGAATCACGATCGTGCTCAGGAAGTCTTCACCCTGCTGAACACGACGTACGAGACCGTTCTAATGAACGAACATGACCAGATCCCGAAGCCGACCAACCGGAAGCCCAATCGGCAGGATAATCGGGATACTGGCAAATTCTGCCGATATCACCAGCAGAACAGCCACAATACCGAAGACTGCATCAGTCTGAGGAAAATTGTCGAGCGCCTGATTCGGGAAGGGAAGTTGGATCAGTACCTTGCCAGGCCGCCACAGGCCCCGGTACCGAACGCGAATCGGCAGATCAACATGATCAACACGATCAGCGGTGGCCCCACCCTGGTGGGACCCTCTAACCGCTCAGCGAAGCAATATGTGCGCACCGCCCACTGCCCTCAGGTCTTCGGCATAGCGGAGGATCGGTGCCGAAAGTTGTCAAAGGTGGGATGGGAGCCCATCACGTTCAGTGAAGAAGAGGAGGAGGGGATCATCTACCCCCACGACGACCCAATGATCATTCGGGCCGAGATCGCCGATTACGACGTGGGTCGGGTGCTGATTGACACCGGAAGCTCAGTGAACGTAATCTTTGCCGATGCGTTCAAGGGATTGGGGATTGCGGATAGCATGGTCAATCGGCAAATCACGCCTCTCCTCAGTTTCTCTGGGGATCTGGTACAACCGGTCGGTAGCATCAGTTTGCCCATTGCCTTCGGCGTGGCCCCCAGGAAGACCATGACCTACGACCAATTCCTCATTGTTGACTGCCCAACGGCATACAACGTCATCATAGGGCGAACGGCACTCACCAGGATCAAAGCCCACCTATCCACACACATGTTGCTGATGAAGTTCCCAGCACGCAACGGTACCGGAGCCATCCGGGGCGATCAGCTCAGCGCACGGACGTGCTATGCCACGGCCATTAAGTCGGTAGCCAGCAAACCGCCAATGGAAGCCATGACCTTGCAGGGACTACCGAACGGTAACGAACCCATTGATGACCCCCGGGAGGAAAACCCAATGCCAATGGCACAGCCCGCCGAGGAGCTCGAGACCATAATCCTGAACAAGGATTTCCCCGATCGGTGGGTGAAGATCGGCACCAATCTGAACCCCGACCTCCGAGGGCAGTTCATCGACTTCTTACGGCAGCATGCGGAGGTCTTCGCCTGGTCTTATGACGATATGCCCGGCATATCACCCGAGGTCATCAGCCACAAACTCAGCATCTCCCCCGCCCACAAACCAGTCAGGCAAAAACGCCGATCGTACGATGCCGAACGGTATGAGGCGATGCGTGCCGAAGTTGACAAGCTCAAAGCCATCGCTTTATCAGGGAAGCTACGTACCCTGTTTGGCTTGCCAACTCAGTCATGGTTCGGAAGGCCAGGGGAGGATGGCGAATGTGTCAGGACTATACCGACCTGAATAAGGCATGTCCGAAGGACAGTTTCCCATTACCGAGGATCGACCAGCTCGTCGATGCCACCGCCGGACACGAGCTGCTCAGCTTCATGGACGCGTATTCAGGGTACAACCAGATCTTCATGGACCCTGCCGATAGAGAACATACGGCATTCATCACGAATCGCGGTTTGTACTGTTACAATGTCATGCCTTTCGGCCTGAAGAACGCGGGGGCAACTTACCAACGGCTCGTCAACCGGATTTTTGCTAAATACATCGGCGGCATCATGGAGGTATATGTCGACGACATGTTAGTAAAAAGCCGAACGGCAGGGGATCACCTGGAAAACTTGGCCCTCATGTTCGGTATTCTAAAGGATTACCGAATGCGGCTGAACCCGGCGAAGTGCGCCTTCGGTGTATCTTCCGGAAAATTTCTCGGGTTCATGATCAGCCAAAGGGGAATCGAGGCCAATCCCGAGAAAATAAAAGCCATAATCGACATGGAGACGCCGAAGACACAGAAGGACATTCAGAGCCTTACCGGACGTGTCGCTGCCCTGACACGCTTCATCTCCAGGGCTACCGATAAATGCGTGCCGTTCTTCAAAGCTTTGAAAGGGGGCAAACATCATATAACGTGGACTCCCGAATGCGACCAGGCATTTCAAAACTTGAAGAACTATATGAGCCAGGCACCACTGTTATCAAAACCGCTGCCAGGCGAGGTACTACTCCTGTACCTTTCGGTATCCAACACTGCCGTCAGCTCAGTGTTGATAAGGAAGCCAGAGAAGGCAGAGCTACCGATCTTTTATGTCAGCAAGGCGCTCCAGAACGCAGAGCTTCGGTACCCACCCTTGGAGCAACTGGCACTGGCCCTGGTCGTTTCGGCACGAAGACTTCGCCCTTACTTCCAGGCTCACGAAATCACAGTTCTGACGAACCAGCCTCTTCGGCAGGTGCTCCAAAAGCCGGAAACATCGGGCCGATTGGTCAAATGGGCAATCGAGTTGGGAGAGTTTGACATACAATTCAAGCCAAGGCCTGCAGAAAAAGGCCAGGCCGTTGCCGACTTCATCTCCGAGCTCACGCCGCCTGCTTTATCGGAACCATTATCGCCGAGCGTCGTCCATACCGCACCAGAGAAAACGAATACCGAACGTTTCGACACTTCTGTTCCCCTCTGGATCCTGCACGTGGACGGCTCGGCAAACCAGCAAGGCTGTGGTGCCGGCTTAGTGCTAACCACTCCGGACGGTAGTAAAATCGAGTACGCCCTCCGATTCAACTTCCGAACCTCCAATAACGAGGCAGAATATGAGGCCCTCCTGGCTGGCCTTCGGCTAGCCCAGAGCATGAGCGCAAGGCAGATCAGCATTCACAGCGACTCCCAGCTCATAGTAAATCAGATAACGGCAGACTTCGCAGCAAAGGATGCCTCCATGTCAGCCTACCTATCGGCAGCCCACCAACTACTACAAAAATTCCAGGCCTACGAGATACGGCAGATCCCCAGGTCAGAAAATAGCCATGCCGACGCACTCTCACGATTGGCCTCGGCTATAAATGACAAGATCGGAAGGAAGGTTCCGGTGGAGATACTATCCCAACCGAGTACAACCGCCGCTGAAGTATGTACCGTTCGGTACGAAGACACATGGATGTCTCCAATCTATGCCTACCTGACTGCCGGAACCCTTCCTACCGATAAGTCTCAAGCTCGGAAACTTCGCTACCGATCGGCAAGATACACGGTCATCAACGATGTCCTGTACAAACAGGGCTACACGACGCCATATTTAAAATGCCTGACCAAGGAGCAGGGGGACTACATCCTTCGGGAGGTCCACAGCGGAATCTGCGGTGACCATTCTGGATCCCGATCGCTCGCACACAAGATCTTCCGACAGGGTTATTTCTGGCCGACTCTGCCGCAAAAAAAAAAAAAAAAAAAAAAAAAAAAAAAAAAAAAAAAAAAAAAAAAAAAAAAAAAAAAAAAAAAAAAAAAAAAAAAAAAAAAAAAAAAAAAAAAAAAAAAAAAAAAAAAAAAAAAAAAAAAAAAAAAAAAAAAAAAAAAAAAAAAAAAAAAAAAAAAAAAAAAAAAAAAAAAAAAAAAAAAAAAAAAAAAAAAAAAAAAAAAAAAAAAAAAAAAAAAAAAAAAAAAAAAAAAAAAAAAAAAAAAAAAAAAAAAAAAAAAAAAAAAAAAAAAAAAAAAAAAAAAAAAAAAAAAAAAAAAAAAAAAAAAAAAAAAAAAAAAAAAAAAAAAAAAAAAAAAAAAAAAAAAAAAAAAAAAAAAAAAAAAAAAAAAAAAAAAAAAAAACCATGCACAATGGTTGCCCCCTGACATTCCCTATAATGTACAAGACATTATAGACCACAAAATGAAGCATCAACAGACTCCACAGACACCAAAAAGTGTGAGATCAAGCCTGCAAAACAACCCAGAGTATGCAGTCATTCCGGTATTTTCCCCCAGTATTCCAAACTCATTCGAAATGCAGCAGTATGATGATTCTGACATCAAAAAGTTACCGGACGGTTCTTATCCTTCCTCTTCCCCTTGGCGTTTATTGCAAATGAATGCACCGGAGTGGAAACAAGAAATACTAGGGTGTCTTGGGAGTAGATTTGAACAAATGCAAACATATGAAGGTATTTTGGGTTCTTGTTAACTTCATTGGGTGATGAGGAATTGAAAAATTGTTGTGTGAAGCTTGAAACTACTTTAAGAAATGGTGAGTCTTTTGATGTTGTTGCAAGTGATTTGTTTTCAAAGTTACAGGTGCAGCAATTGCTTTTACTAGCAAAAGTAAACACAACCACTACTACAAAAAGTGAAAAAGACGACCAGAAAAAGACGATGTAGAAGAAAAAACCGTCGTTGCATTTAAAAAGACGACGGTAACAAAAAACCGTTGTGGATAAGTGACTTAAACAACTAAAAAACGGAGGTACTGTTGAATATTTTTTTATAACGACGCACACAAATAAAAAGCGTCGTCTTATTAAAAAGGTTTTCTTCATGTTAAAATCTGACCAAAAACAACAACAGCAGGTATGACAAGCATCGTCTTTTAAAAACCAAGTGTCCTTTTTTTGGTAAAGACATGGTTGTTTTGAAAGAACTGTCATCTATTATATGTAAAGATGATGGTTTTTTTTTAAAAAGGGTCGTCTATTATGAAGTAAAGAAGACCCTTTTTATAAAAAAAAAGTGTCGTCTATTATATGTAAAGATGATGGTTTGTTTAAAAAGGGTCGTCTATTATGAAGTAAAGATGACGGTTTGTTCTGGAAAAAGGGTCGTCTATTATATGTAAAGATGTATGTAACTAGTATGGGGCTGTTACATTCAATAAAGGGCTACCAAATAATGTTTTCAAGAGACATGTAACAAGTATGGGGCTGTTATCCAGTTTTGATGCATAAAAACAGTGGAAGCAGAAGGGACGTAGTGGGAATTTGCAGTTTTGTCGTCCGAGCTCTGATTGAGATCCATGATACCTTTCTGAAAAGGGAATGAAGCTAGGAATCAGACATAGTGCTTTGCACTGGTATATGGTGGTTTTTGGCCATTTGAAGTTATTTAGGGCCAGTTTAGCATTGCTGTGCTGTGAAAATAATCACTGTCAAATTTGTTGTATGATAAATCAGCTGTGAAATAAATCAGTTTGGTGTTTGGTAAACTTTTTGTTAAAAGTGATGTTGAAATAATAATCAGTTTATGAGTGTTTGGTAAATTTTTGTGTAAAAGTGTTTAGACTATGTATAATAACTAGAAAGGACATGCGGTTATTATTTTTAATTGCAATACCTAAAACCTAAAAATTATGACCAATTGGAAAACTCAACGATTGTAATTCACAAATGAATATAATAACAACCCAAAATCTTCCTATCACGATTCCAGTATTCAGTGCCCTCTTCCCTCTTCATTAGTAATTTTTTTCACACCATTTAACTCCATGGCCGACAACCAATTGCCAATTCCCATAGAGTATATATGTTGCTACTCATACAGTCATACTTGCATACATGCATTCCTTGCCTTATTGTTTAAGTAAATTTAGAAATTAAGACCATTCTCCTCCTCTTTCTTCCAGATGCGTTATGTGGGCTCATCCTACATTGTTTTGTTTGTTTTGTTTGTTGTCAATTAATATAGCATTTCATTGAAACCCAGTGTAGGGGACTTTTTCTTCCTGCAGCTAACGGGCTGGGCTGCTGCAAAAGGTGGACTGAGGAGATTGCCCCTTTTTGTCTAGGTTCGAAAATTAAGCCCTAAAATACCTCGAAAGGGCAGCGAAACCTTAGGAGATATTTTAGATAATCTTCACCAATGAGAATAATAGTGACTTGCAGATAATTTTGGCATGCTTACAGATGGTTTTCAGGCTCAGCATGAGTGGCATGAGGCATGGGGAGCAAAACCAACATGGGTTTAGCACTAAGAGAGAAATTAGGCTTGGTTTATGAGGAATGAAAGTGTTTAAGTAAGGAATGAGGTGTTTTGTGAGGAATTTTGGCTAGAGAAAGAGAAAAGAGAGGCAGGGTTCTTCCAGCAGCTGCCAGAAGAACAAATTGGAGAAGAAGATGAACAGTGCACGAATCTAAGTTTTGCAAGATAGAGAGAAAAGCTTGCTCTCTGCAGGTTGTGAGTTGTGTTTGTTGGGTAGGGGAAGGCTCAATTTATAGCTGCCGGAAATCACCATTTTTCAAGAAACCATAATGGCTTCTTCTTACTTTGGCTGAGCTTTTCTTCCTTTCTCCTCTCCTTCTCTGACTTCCCTTTCTTGGCAAAGATTGCTTCTGTCTATCTTCATGAATTTAGGAGATTTGGGGGCTCAACATCCTCCTTTCCCGCGGCTGTGCAATGAGGGCTTCCACTCTTGGTTTGCTGTTTTTTCTTCTTTTCTTTCCTCTTCCTTGGCTGAATCTGATGAAGGAAAGGAGGTGCAAATGTATGCTGGTCCAAGGGATGCTTCTGACAGCATGCAGGATGGTATTCATCGGTTCTTTGGATGTCTCTGGCTTGGGACTGGTTTCCAGCAGCTTTGCTTAAGGAACCTGCCATCTACTCCTTCACGTGTTCTCTGTTTTTCAAAAGGGTTGAAGCTATTGTGGGCCCTTTTTTGGGCTTTTCTAAGGGCCAAGATGGCTTTCTAAGCAAATGGGCTTGTTGGGCTTCTTGATTTGGGCTTATTATTTTGGTTGGGTTATCTCTTGGCTAGGTTATTTTGCTTGGGCTTTTGGGCTATTTTTTCTCTCTTGTGCTTACCCACATGTTTGGGCCTAAGAAATGGGCCTGAGTCTCGAGGCTCCCAAGCAACCCGAGACTTTCCATTTCTTGGTCCATCAATGGGCCTCATGTTGATTTATCACCATCCATGCCACAACCCACTCAAGCAAGCCCCGGGTCTTTTTGAGTGGCTTGGGCCCACCTAGGCTTGTAGCGTGGTTGGGTGCGAGATAACGGCATGGCATGTTGCTCGGCATATTTTACCTTATCGCCCTTGGGAAGGATTGTTTTAATTTTTTAGCATGATTATATTTTATCATAGCATGATAATTTGTTTATTTTAGCGTGGCGTGTGGATTATAACTTGCATGCGATAGATCCCTTTTTTCTTTTCCCTTATGGAGTATTGTATTGGGCTGATAATTGTTCGGGCCCAATCCATGGATTTTTTGGGCCTCAACACCCAGCAGTAACAAGTAATTGAGAAAACTCTAGGTTATAGGGCCAATGATTTTGAAAACGAAAAACAAGATTGAAGGAACCGAGTTTAGAATGAATATTAAAAATAATAAGGTTGTGATCAGAGAATTTATAAAAACAATTTGGATAAAGTTGCAAATGAGGACTAGAACAAGAGAAACCCAGAAAGAGAGAACACATGGGATACAACCCAGAACCTACAAATTCATTGCAACCCATCAAACACGAGAAAACAATATAGCATGTAAATGAGAAATAGTTTAAAACATTATCACTTTGTTGCACTGAAAACCCAACATCTGAAGACCCAAAATGATGAAATTGATACTGGATCCAATCCGTTGATTTGAAGGACCACTAAGATTTGTTCTTTGTTGAGAACTAGCGGCACGACTACCAGGATTGGACCATCAGAAAGGACCTTGAAACTGCCCCAAATCCAGAATGAAAAAAGATAATAAACAAACTTTAGATCTGTGGTTGCAGGAATCTTGGAGACAAATTAAAGAAGAAAGGTGTGAAGAGAAGAAGAAGAACTGAACTTACCATGTAACGCGAGAGGAGAGAAAGGAACAATTCAAGAATACAGGATCAAATGAAGAGGACAGTGGATGTAATTTACAAAAGCCAATGAGGATAATTTGGGCATTTTAAAAAAATTCATTAAAGAGCACCGGTTCCCCATCCGCTTTCCTCATAAGCGGAAATAAAATCACCTCCTGACCAGCTTCCTCAAATCGCTGTGGCTGACAGCAATTATTCATATAATCAGATTATTTTTTCATTTACCAAACAACTAGGTGGAAGAAAACTTTATAAGAAAGTGATTTTTGCTCCAAATAAGCAATGTCAAACATGTACTTAGGCCTAGTTTGGGATTGCTGCCGCTTTAAAAAAAATCTGCTTCTGCTGTGCTTTAAAAGAATCAGCTGTAAAGTAAAGCAGTTAAACGTTTGGTAAACTGTAATTTTAAAAGTGCTGTGAGTATGAAAAGCAGTGTTAGAGCGTTTGGTAAATTTTACCGTAAAAGTGCTGTAACTATTTATAATTACTAAAATGGACATGATGCTGAAAGTGCTTTTTACTAATCTGTTTGGTAAAAAATAAAACTGTAAAGTGCTTTTATACTTTTCTCCCTAAAAATTATATTAATCTTTGCTTAAAGAAAAGAAAAATTCAAATTGAATAAACTCCAACAAAGATAATTATGATTTGAATAAATTCCAACAAAGATAAAGAGATCACCACGGTAGTAGGTTCATACACCATCCTTGATATTGAATAAGTAATAAACATTTTTTAAGGTTTGAATTGTAGCAATAAAAACAAATTGAAACTAGGCTTAAATAAATGGAAATAAAGAAAATGTCTAAGAAGATGCATGCATTAAACTTGCAGCAATCTTGTTCCTTAATGTTTCTAGTTCTTGTGCTCCAGGCCCTTGAGTAATATGATATTCTTCTTGTGCATCACCCTCCATCTCCATTGCATTTGGGTTGTCATTCACTTTGTCAAAATGAATATCACGTTGGGCATGCCTCCTTATATAGTTGTGAAATGCCATAGTTGCAATTACTATCTTCACTTGCTTATCGAATGGATAGCTAGGCATGTCTCGTAAAATACTCCACTTTTTCTTCCATACACCAAAAGTGCGTTCAATGACACTCCTAAGGGAAGAGTGTACGTGATTAAATACTTCTCTAGAACCTGTTGGTTGAGTACCCCTACGAAAATCTGGAAGATGATACCTTTCACCTTTATATGGTCCCAAATACCCGCTCATTTGTGGGTAACCCGCATCCACAAGATAATATTTTCCTGTAACCAATAAGATATGTTTAATTATAATATAATTTGAAAGTGCAAAAATTTGAAGTTTAATGATATGCACATATTTGAAACATTACCATTTGGAGGTTTGGGAAAATTTAAAGCATTATTTCGTAACGCTGATAAAAATACTCTTGTATCGTGTGCAGTGCCTTCCCAACCTGCACATGCAAATATGAATTGCATGTCAAAATTACATGCAGCCATTATGTTTTGAGTCGGTATTCCTTTCCTGCCAATATATGGTACTTGATCTTCAGGAGGTATTGAGGCTTTAACATGTACG